AATATCACATTATAAAACAAGAACCAAGGACCAGGGCTATCAGACTAAAAGAAAATCATCTGATGTATACTATGTCAGAAACATATTTAGGAAATTTTAAAAAGCATCTAATCCTAAATGCACCGACATCACCTTTTGCAAACTATGAAACATTTTTCTCATCAAGCTAGGCAGGTCTCTACAAAGGCATTTGTAAAACTTGCATTTGATTATCTATTTCCCTCCCCAGAACAGACATTTCTTTTATTTACTATAATCTTGCCTCTACACTCTTTAGCGCAAACAAATATTCAAATATCAGAAACAAAATAGCAACTGAGCTCACTTGCCAGGTATGGTTAACTCTTGACTTTCCATGGTTGAACTAGTTCTCAGAGAAATCTGTCTTGTGGTTACCTGGGTTGAGTGGAGTGCTGACACTGGTTGGTCCATGGCTTGTTCTAGGTGTTTTGCAGGGAATTTCTTTACAAGAGCTTCCTTGTTCCCATGAAATACTGGACAATTCCTGAATATCTATCACTGATCTAAAGAATTGAAAAGGAAACACTGAATTAATTAGGAAAGGCTATTCAAAAAAACAATAACAAACCATCAAAAAACTGTGATTTTTCTGGAAATCTGAAAGTACATTAATTTACTTACTTATGATACTATTCACAATATCATTTTCATCATATTAAATAGGACCTCCCCTCAACATTTTCTGATATAATTCCCTGAAGGTGATACTCAATGTCATATGGTTCAAAACCACTGATAGGTAATTAATTCTTTTTCAGTTATGTCCTTATGATAATTATTATAACACACTTGTATGTTGATTTGTGATTATGGATTACTTTCACTACAAAAACCCTAAAAAGCATGCAGTATAAACATATCCCCATTTTACAGAGGAGAACAATGAGGCAGTCAAATAGCTATAACACATCTGAGCTGAAACTCAAACTCAGGTTTTTCTGATTCCAACCTCAGCATTCTTCCTACTTTACCAGTTGTCAAGGATAATCACAAGAGTAATCACTTATTCAATAATCATTCTCAAGCTTATGAGAGTACAGCACTTCACTCTTCTAGAGAGGGCTGAACCCTGGGTTTTTCAGCTCATTCACTTTCTTTGGCAGCTTGGCTGAGTTTGAACCCCACTCGTTCCCAGCCTCCTTTTGTATGGGGTCTTCCCCCGTTAGACTGTCTGCTCCTTGAGGGCAGGTACTGTCTTTCTCTTATTTGTATTCTCAGCACTTAGCACAGTGCCTAGTACACAGTAGGTACTTAATATATGTTTATTGAATTACTGAATTGAATATTGCAAGTATTGTTATATCTATTTTAGAGAAAGGAAACTGAGGCTCAAAGAGGTTTGAAGTGACTTGAGTGTGGTCAAGCAGCTAGTATAAGGTGTTCAAGCCAGGACACGTTACAAAACCTTGAGTTCTCAAAACACCACAATCTGTGAAGAAGCAGCTTAGAATTAGACATGAAATTCTAGCTTTAAAAATGATCTCCACAAATAAAGACAACTACTTCCAACATTATTGGGGTCTTCACACCAAAAATAGATTTTACTACAAATCTTTTCCTATAATGATGTCACACTAAGGTCTTATCTGATCAAAACAGGCTTTGAAATCTCTTTGTCTATATTATATACAGGATGAAGTCACTAGACAATTGAAGAACATACATGTAAGAATGCATGAAGTACTTATGGGGAGTAAAGGTTCCAACTTTCTACGTGTGTAATTATAGAATGACTTGCACCTGTGTGAGCATGATTCAATTTTTTTTTTCTTTTTAAAATTTGTATAAATTGCTTTCATTTTGACATTCCCTGTATTTCCCAATGCATCCTCCCTCCCCTCCCAAAAGGTCATCCTTTATAAATGAAGAATGAAAAAAGAGGGGAAAAAGTTCCCTATTATATGCAGTTTGATATTATATGCAATGTTCCATAGCCATGGGCCTAATGATTTTAAGACCATCTTAAGGCTTGACCCTCTGTGCTCATATATGAGAGAACATGAGTTGGGATCAGTTATAAACTATTGCCATCTGAATCAAGAATTAAGATTAGTCTCTCTATGGGAAAAAAAGTACCCCAACATACATATTCTTCTCTTTCAATTCTTTTGAGAATTCTTTTAATGTTTCTTCTTCTTCTCCAAGACTGAAGAGAAAAGATGAAGAAATTACTTGAATCAGTTTAAATTAAAAGCATTGTTAAATTCACTAAATCAACAGTACTTGGATTTTTTCAGGTTGATCTATCAAAATACAAAATCTCAGAGCATCTTAGTAGCTGTCTATTGTAAACTGTACAAGAATCACTGTGTGACACACCAGCCAAGGGGTCAGCCAGTCTTTCCTTGAAGACTTCAGTTAGGAGAAATCTACTGTCTCTTGAAACAACCAATCTCACTTGGATACAATTATAATTGTTAGAAAGTTTTTCCTTATACTGAGCCTAAATTTGCCTCTCTGTAACCTCCACGCACTGTTCCTGGTTCTGCTCTCCGGGATCAAGCAGAACAAATCTAATCATCCTTCCATGTGGCAGTTCTTCTAATACGTGATGACAGAGCTCCTATTCCTTTTGTCTTCTGTTCAATGGCCTCACTGCTTCCTTAGTTCAGGACATTACACTCTCTTAATGCAGCCTAAGATCACATTATGATATGCCATAACATACTTGTAAAGTTGAGTTTTTAAAACCAAATGAAAATTTCCATTTATCCCTAACAAATTTCATCTAATTCTCTTTGAAGCCATCATACTAATTTGTATCAATCCTTCTGGATACAGACTTTGTCACCCAAAGTTTTCCTTGTCCTTCCTGGCCCTGTTGGCTTGGGAGAAGAGATGATAGAAGAACATGATAGTATGTGAGGGGCCATCATGTGGAGGAGGGATTAAATATATTCTCCCTAAGCCCAGAGGGTCAAATCAGAAACAACAGGAGGAAGGTATAAAGTGGTCAATTAAGGCCTGATGTCAAGACACACTTCTCAACAATAAGGCTGTCCAAAAGTGGAATGGACTGCCTCGAGAGGTGATGGGTCCAAGCAGAGGCTGGAAGACCACATGTAAGTATGCTATTGGAGGGAGAGGAGAGCAATACTCACTTATGGGATAGACTCTCAAATTTTATGATTCTGACCTGAATGTCATCTATACCTTTATTTGTCCAAGTCATTAAGAGAAAGTGACAGTTTCCCTACAATGTGAATTTCTCTACAACACAGTTCATCAAATCCCAATCCACTAATACCTTCTTATTTTTTAACTGAGCTACCTGGCCTCTTCATTTCTTTCCCTTTCTGACCATAAAGACATCTATATAGAGGTAGTTAGGTGGCAAGTGACAGAGTTTGAATCTGGACTCACTTATTAGTGGTATGTCCCTACGCAAATAAGTCACTTTACCTCTGTCTGCCTTGGTTTCCTTATTAGCAAAATGGGGATAATAATAGCATCTACTTTTTAGGGCTTTTGAGCATAAAAAGAGATGATATTTGTAAAGAACTTTGCAAACCTTAAAGTGCCTTATAAATGCTACCCTTGTTAACAATGAAGATGATGATATAGCCTCTGGGGCTTAGGATTCAGCCTGTGCTCATGCATGGGGCATGGTGACTGATAACTGCCTGGTAAAGTAATGGAGCCTATGGCCTTGGCCCTTTTAGCATTTGGCAGGCTCTTTAAAGAGTAGCACTTTCCACAGTAGGGACCATAGCCAGTAGTCAGTCTGTTTCCTAATAATACTTAGTAGTTTCCCTTAGCATCGCAGAGACACTGTTAACTCAGAGTCCAGAATTACTAAGGGATTTTCTGACTATAAGTCTGCTCCTTTCTCCTCTGCTCTTCAGAGTGAAAAGTACCTCTGTTTCAAAGATGGGGAACACCAAAAATAGATTATTCAAAACTCTTTTCCATTCTTATGTGTGCAATATTTAAAGGAATGATTGACATGTTCTCATTGAAAGGTGGAGAGACTATTTAGGCCTTACAGGTAAGCAGAGTAGACAGCCACTTCTATGAAGGGTGAACTGAAGAACCTGAACAAAAGCTTAGTAAAAAACATCTGCTGGGAACACGTAGTGGCGCAGTGGATAGAGCACCAGCCCTGGAAATCAGGAGGACCTGAGTTCAAATCCAGCCTCAGACACATAACACTCACTAGCTAAGTGACTCTGAGCAAGTCATTTAACCCCAACTGCCTCACACACACAAAAACAAAAACAAAACATCTCTCCTTGGCCTGCCTCAGTGGCTGAAATCATCACCATTAGGCCTTCACTACTTGGTTAAACTACTCCAATAGTCACCTAACTGATTTCTCTACCTCCTGTCATCACCTACACTCATTCCAATTCTTCCTATAAACTTCTCTCAGAATTATTTTCTTAAAGTAGGAAACAGCTCTGAGGCCAGAAGCTAAAGCAGTTTTCTCTCAAGTCAGTCACTCCAGCAAAGACCTCTCCTTGGTGCAGATCTTGGTGCCTCTCTGAGAGGAAACTGGAAGGACAAGATCTGATGCTTTAGGTGGTGACTGCCTCTCTAGAAACACTATTTCTGGAAAGCCCCAGACAGACTTTACTCTATTCCTTACTCTCCAACTACCTCCCTCACAATCTCCTCATTACTACCTCACCAGCATATCCTTTCCTCTAACCAGTCCTGGATGGGGTATGTGATTCATGTGGTCCAGAAAACTTTCTGGACCAGAGTGCCCCTCCCTGGCCACTACTCCCCTAAGTCAGTTGTTTCCCTCATTACAATATAAGCTCAAAAGAGAAAATTATTAATAATGTTGGATGGGTTGTGGGAAACAAGTATGCTAGAGTACTGTTGGTGGAGCTATGAATTCCATACCTTCTGAAAAGCAGTTTGGAATCAGGCCTAGAAAGTTACCAAACTATGCATACCCTATGACTCAGTTGTACCACTAGTAGGCCTATACCCCAAAGAAATCAAAGAGGGAAAGGATCCATATATCCAAAATTATTTAAGGTAGTTCTTTTTGAGGTAGCCAAAACCTGGAAACCAAGGAAATATTCTATCCTGGAAAGTCGAAATAAACTGTGGTATATGAATGTAATAGAATATTCCTGTGCCAAAATAAATGATGAAATGGATAATTTTGGAGGAAATAGAAAAGACATATAAACTGATACAACTACAACAACATTACAGAGAAAAAAACTGCAAGGCTTTAGAACTTCGAGCAATGCAATGATAAACCAGAGTTCAAAAGAATGAAGATAAAATGACTCCACTTCTTGACAGAGATGATGAACACAATGCAGAGAGACATATATTTTTGGACATGGCTGATGTAGGAATTTGTTTTGCTGGAATACACAGGTAGTTGTTTTTTAATTTGCTTAATGGGGGGAGGAGTGGGAAAGCCAGATAAATGAAAAAGTTCTTGTTACTTTAAAAAAAAAAAAAAAAGAGGGACAGCTAGGTGGTGCAGTGGATAGAGCACTGGCCCTGGAGTCTGGAAGACCTGAGCTCAAATTCGGCTTCAGACACATACTACTTACTAGCTGTGTGACCCTGGGCAAGTCACTTAACCCCAATTGCCTCACCAAAAAAAAAAAGAATGTAAGGTACTTGAGTGCAAGTACTGGCTTTGCTTCTGTATTTGCATCAGCTGGGGATGTAGTGCCTGACGTTAAGAAAGTGCTTAATAAATGATTTTCATTCATTTACGAGTCATTTCACTGCTTAAAAACTTTCCATGGTTCTCTACTACCTTCTGAATAAAGACTACAGTTATTATCCTGACAATCAAGGCCCTTTACAATTTGCTTTTAACCTCCCTTTCCAGCCTGACCTTGGAAAAATCCCTATACACTCAATGCTCCAGTTATAATGGATTGTTTGGTGCTTCCCTGAGGTCCCATCTCAGTGCCTCTGCTCATACCCTCCCTATACCTGTTAACATCCTACCCATACTTCAATGACCAGTTCAAATGACATTTCTTCTCCACAAAGTCTTTCCCTCCAGATTGAAATGATCTGAGTATATTATATTTATGCATGACTATAAAGTATACAACCAACATACTACTATATTTGCGTCATATTTAATTGTATATATGACTTATTATCCCTACTACATAAAAATTATCAGGGGCAGGGGCCAGTTATTTATCTTTGAATCTCCCTCAGTAGCCTAGAAAAGTTACACATAATATGGCTTAGTATCTGTAGAATGAATGAATGAACTGGGTTAAGCTATTATATTATCGGGGAGGAAAAAAAAATATACTTGTTATCTAAACAGATCAGTAGATATTTGTTTACACAACAACACTAACTATGGAGAACAAAGCTGGGACCCTGAGGAAATGGGTTAAGTACTTTACCATTATAAGATGGCTTCAGAAGAATGGAAGGAAAGTATTATCCAAGGTAAGTCCTAAAGATACCATGCCCTCCTGGGCCAAGTTTTGATTAAGTGGATGGAGAATTTTGAACAAAGGCACTTCATCAATGTGAGATATTACCATTAAAATGTTTCCTTTTAATCTGAAGGAGCAACTAAGACATTAACAACTCAAACCTTATGGGTGTAAACTGAAGTTCTGTTACACACTCAGACTTATTTCCAAGGATTTTTTCAATCACTTGAAACCTTTTTCCACCTGAAAGAGAAAGGAAATGTCTGTAGTCATTGGATTCTATGTACATAAATTATTATTTTTTACACTTAATTCTTTTTCACTTTCAGATCCACATTCTCTACCTCTCATCTCCCCCTTCCCTTTTCATATTTTATCATGAGTTCTCTAGTACTGTGGTTTGTCATTGTGTGGATTAGGGTTCCTAAGTCTTTCAGAATTGATTGTCTTACAATACTGCTGTTATGATAGAAATTATTCTCCTGGTTCTACTCTTCACTCTGTATCAGTTCATTCAAGTCTTCCCAGGATTCTCTGAAACCATCCCTTTCATAATCTCTTTTAGTACAGTAGTATTCCATTACATTATTATACTATAGCCTGTTTGGTATTCCCCAAGTAACAGGCACTCCCTCAGTTTCCAACTCTTTGCTACCACAAAAAAAAACTGCTATAAGTTTTTTGCAATAAGTGTTTTTTGGGTTCTCTTCCTCTTTCTTTATTCTTTTTAGGGTATAGACCTAGTAGTGACATCATTGGTTCAAAGGCTATGTAAAAATTATTACCTTTTGGGGCATAGTTCCAATTTGCTTTCCAGAATGGCTGGAGCAGTTCACAGTTCTACCAACAGCATACGTACCCATTTTCCCATAGTCCCTGCAACATCTGACATTATCCTTTCTGTCAACTTTGCCAATCTGATGGGTGTGAGGCATTATAATTTGCATTTCTCTAATTATTATTGATTTAAAGCATTTTTTCACATGGCTATTTAGGGTTTGTCTTTCTTCCTCTACAAACTGTCTATTCTTACCCTTTGCCCCTTTATTAACTGGAGAATAGCTTTCTTCTTATAAATTTGAATTCGTTTCCTATATATTTTAGAAATTAGATCTTTATCTGGGAAACTTGTGGAGTATACATAAATTAATATTATTCTGTGGGAAAATTCCTTGAGCCTCATCCTGGTATCATAAGTAATCTCAACAAGCAGCTTAAGTGATGAGCGGTTTAAGAGCTGAATAGATTCGCTATGTCTCTGAGGTACTTTCCATCTCTAATATTCTTTGGTTCTAACATTTTGAGTCAAATACTATTCAGGCCAAGGGAGGTAGCAGCACAGTGTAGTAGAAAGAACTTTGGATTTGGAGTCAAATGACCAGAGTGTAAATCATGGTTCTTTCACACAATTCCATGGGTGATAAAAGCTCTGGGCTTCAATTTACTCCTCTGTACAATGAGGGAAATGGATTAGACGATGTCTAAGGCTTCTTCCAGGCCAATTCTATGAAACCAATGAATGTTCTAGAAGAGGACTTTATAGATCACTGATTTTTACAAATGCAGGAACTGAGAACCAGAGAGAGAAAGTGACTTGCCTAAGGTTACATAAGTAATAAATATCAAAGCCAGGATCTGAACATAGGTCCCTTCACTCCAAATCCAGCATTCTTTCCATTGCACCTTACGTTCACCGAAGTGTCAGATGTAAAAATAGTTTGGCTGGGTCCAAGTCCTACCCTCTTTTAATTATGCCATACAGTAGCTGGAGGATCTAAGAAGCCCAATGTAATAATCTATTCTCCTCCTTGATTATAACTACTTGAAACTAAGATTTTAGGATTTAGAACCAGAAAAGGTTCTTCTCTTCCCCTGCCCAATTTTACAGAGGAAGAAACTGAAGCATAGTACCTTTGCAACTGCTTGAAGTCACAAAGGAAGCAAGCAGCAGAGACCAGATTTGAACCTGACTTGGAATCCAGTGCTTTTCCCACTGTCATATGCTATAATGCACTACTGTGCAATTTCTCAGACAGAAGGTCTTCAATTAGAAAGTCATTTAAAGGCAGGCCATTCAAAGATATGTTAGCCAAAGCAAGTCATCATTTCTGACAGGTCTGCTTCTTCTGCCATGCTATTTGTACTAAGCATGGAGAAGGGGAAGATCAATCGGACAGTGACATCTCCCATTCCATATGCCATATTTTAGTCTGACTTGGGCATGGATGTGTCCTGAATAGCATTTAAAGAGCATTGAGAATGTTCCTCTTAAAATATCTCCCCTATCCCGGTACCTAAAATTTCACTGCAGGATATTTATTCCTTTGGGTTCTCCTCCTTCAGAACCTATCTTCAAATCCAATTGTAGGGGAGGGGAGTTGTTTTAAAAATTAATTTACATTAATATATTTACTGGCTTATCAGAGAAATGGATGCCTGGAAAGGGTAGAGAAAGAATGAAAAAAAAAAGAGGAAAAGGACATAAAGGAAGGACATGGCCTTCTGTTTCTGCTCTCTAGCCCCCTTTGCCTTCCAATGAGCAAAAACAAGTGGTGGCCTGTAAGAAGGTATGCAATTCAGGGCTAAGGGTCAAAATTTTAAAATGTCTCAAACGGATTAGAGGTAAGGGTAACATGGGTGGAAGGAAAAGAGAACAGATTCAGAAACCACATTCAAGATTACTAAAGCATGATCCTAGGCAGTTCTAAGGATTAGCAAATGGAGATATAAATATACACACATATATGTATATGTATATATTAGACATATCTAACACATACATATATATATTTTAGTGGGCAGGGTGCATGCCTTTGAAGGACATTAATATGTAGTGTTTCAGAACTTGTATTAAAACCAATAATTCACACATGTGAAACAAGTTCCATGCTCCAAGCTGCTGATTGTGGGGTAATCTGAAATTGATTTCAAATAAACTTTGGAAATGATGAGTGACAAATTTAAATGTCTATGCCATGAACTGATGCCATTCTTTAATGAAGCATCAAGCAAACACCAATTCTGTTGAGATTTGACTGTTTAGATTTGGATCAGTGAACCAAAAGTCTGGATATGTGGTTTGGTCCTAGTTCTCCTAACTGTCCATGTAGCCTTGGACATGTCACTGAATCTCCCTGAGAGAAGGGTTAAACTAAATAATTCCTAAGTATGATTTCCCAATCCAAAGATTCAGACACAGGAGTTGACAGAGGGCAGTGGTGTTATGAAAAAAAATACTGGGCCTGGAGTTGGAGGATCTAGGATCCAATGACAGCTATGCCACTGACTGTGTGACTTTGTGTGCCCCACCCTAGAACTAGGGGACGGGCCTTAGATCTTTGAAGACCGTTCCTGCTCTAAATCCTATGAGTCTGGGATATTTCTTTCAAAAATGCTAATTAAAAATCTGCCTTCTTTTCATGCAATCTGGGTCACCCAGGTATGCTTGTCTTTCTAATCTCCCTTTTAGTTCTAACCTTCTAGTAGTTTATACAGGAGGAAAGTACATGATTTTTGACCTGACCACATATTACCAGAGTCTTGTTTTTGGACACCACAGACTTCTTGTGTGATTTCCAAGTCATCTTCTTCATGACTTAAAGTCTGCAAAGGAAATAAGATTATTAAAAAACAGCAAAGATATGGCCCCTAACTCAACTAAGTCTAATCCAATTCAGCAAGCATTTATTAAGCACCTGTTGTGTTCTAGGAATTGTGCCAGACATTAGGACAAAGACAAAAATGGAACATTCTCTTCCTTAAAAGAGTTTGTATTCTATTTAGAGAGACCAGACATACAAATATTTAAGTATAAGCAAAATATACTCAGATATGAAAATGGATCTGTGAACTTATAGATTTAGGCATTCTTTCCAATAATGCAAATTACGACCCATCCCTGCCAGCTATCCTGCTCAACTCCTGTCCATCTCTTATAATAAGTTTGCCACAAGGGGTCCACACAAAGTGCTGAAGGCCTCTAATGAAGTCTCTTGACATTGTGAGCACCAGTGGAACAGCTGGGATATCCACTCTTATCCCTCACCCTTGCCATATAACTACCCTATCATTCCCTTCCTTGATGAAATATTTTACTCTGTTCATCTCATGTCCTCATGGATTATATGTATGCCTGCTTACATGCACCATATATTTTTCCATTGACCTCATCATACAAAAGAAAGATCAAGTGAATGAAACATGTTTATTGTCTAGATTATGACACGCATTTGGATGGCTACCCTTTAAGAACTTATCCATCAGTATGCATGGGACCAGCAGTATAAGGGAACAGAAAATTGGGACGTGAGTTGAACTGGAGAAGAGTGGGCTGAATTGCCTTTATGAAATTGCAAAGCTCCTTTGATGATCTCCAGGCTTCCCATGGAGGCAAAAGTCCAGCTTTTAATAGCAACATTCTACCTATATTGCTGCATAGCTGTGAGATATGGAATATAAGTCTCCGAAGAACTAAAAATGGATACAAAATAAATATAAGGCAATTTTGTCGAGGAAGGAGCTAGCACTTAGGGCGATAAGGAAAAGACTTCTGTAGAAAATATGCTTGAGTTGAGCTTTTAAGGAAATTACGGATTCTAAGAGGTGGAGTATATAAGTGAGTGTATTCCACAATTTGGGAGACAATCTGTGCAAAGACAGAAATGGAGGTTAGAGTGTCATCTTCAGGGAACAGCAAGGATGTTAGTTTGGCTGAACCACTGAGTGTATAATGATGAGTTCTATAAAGTTAGAAAGTAATTGGGACCAATTTGTGAAGCGTACTAAATACCAAACATCAAATAATCTGGAAGTATGAAGCAACCAATGGAATTTAGTAAATAAAAGAGTCAGCCCTTGTTTTAGGAAAATCACTTTGGCAATTGTGTGGGGAATGTATTGAGCAGAGGAGAAACTGAGGATCACTTAAGGGAGAGAGAGATCAATTAGAACACTACTGCAGCAATCCAGGCTGAGGGTGGTGTTGGGGTGAAAAGAGAGAAAGAGTTGAAAGCAGACTAGGCAACTGATGATAGAAGGGGTGACAAGAGTGTGAGGACTTGAATATGGCTTGAGGTAGTAAACCTGGGCACCTGGATTAAGCGTCTATTATTCAGTTGTAAGGTAACCAACAAGCATCAATTTATTAGGTGCCCATTGGGTCGAAGGCCCTGAAATAGACACCAAGAATATAAACACAAAATGTAAAATTCCAGCTCTTAAGGAGCTACACTTAAGGGTGGGGATATAACATGTAGTTGGAGAAGAGAGAGAGCACAAATGATGAAGGGAATAAAGAATATTTCCTGTAAGAGACAGAACCTTGAACTCATATAAGATAGCAACATTTTAAGAGCATGCTAAGCTGAATATAGCTGCTTGAGTTTCTTTCAAATACTGACATTTCTTCCCAAGGTAATTCCATCTTATATGTGAAAAAAAAAATACACTAGCTTCTAAAATAAATTAATGTTTGATGGATCCACAATGTTAAAATCAGTTATTTTTAAAACATTAATACTGTATTTAACATTTCCCTCTCCCCAACACACGTATACACACATACTCTTTCCCTTCCTTCCTCAAGATTTCCCATTTTTGGAAAGAAAAGTCTTCTTCCATGTTCCACAGTACTTTCTTATTCATGAAGTGAAAGGTGAGGAAGAATGTATCAGGGACACAAGACTAACAGCCAAAGCTGCTGAAGGTTTCTTAAAAACAGATGAAGAAGCATGAACAATCCCTTATCCCTAAAGCAGAACAAATGTTAGCCAGTCAATAGCCCTGCCTTAAATTTTCAAGAGCTCCAAAGAAGAGGCTGTTCCTCCCCACACCTCTGGGTTGACGGGATGTAGTTCTTCCATTTTTTTTTTTTTTACTAGTGAACTAGGTCGGGGGAGGGTAGAAACGAGCAGAGGAGGAACTACACTAGTAAACTTGAAAAATTCACTGAGCAGAAATGTAAATTGTTGAGTGTTGTTGATAAAAAAAAATACACTGTGCAAATCTGGTTTTCTCATAATTCCTGAGGCAAGGTCAGTGCAGTGGATAAAACCTCTGGGTTCTTATCCAAGTTGCATTCCCACTAAAGCGGCATGTCCAAGGCAAGTCGCTTACTGGCTCTGGTTGTTTCTCCGTGGGGTGGGAGTGAAGGAAGAGAGAAATACTTTTCTTTCTTCTTTCACAAGATTATGATGTCAATAAGAGAATGTAAGTGAAAGTGAGACATTATTCTTAGAATGGTAATTTTTGTATAAAAGACTCATGGGCCTTCAATTTTCAAAGACTTTTTTTTCCCCAAACATGTACTGCCCAGAATTCACAAATACAAATGAAGCTCTAGGAAAAACTATGGCTGTAGAACATCAAAATATACCTTACCAGGGACTTAACTTTTACCTTAACTTCTAAATGTCCTTGAACAGTTGGGGTGTAAAAGTAATCAGGATCAGGGGTTAAAAATTCATCTGTTACATCCTCAGAAGAATCTACTGAATGAGGTGACTCCATAGAATGCTCCTATTAAGGGAATGATGTTAGAAAGGATTTTTCTTAGAAAAATTGGAAAGTAACAAATACTGTACCACAATCACCCCCTTAAGGCAGTTTTATTTAACTTTTTTTTTTTTACAGACAGCACTATAAGATGGTTGTTTGCTGGGAAATGATTAATACGTCAAATTAGAACAAAATGTATTAATACAAAATTTTTAAAAGAAATTACTTTACACTGGCATTCGTCAAAAAAGAAGACTTTATAGTGAGAGAGGTGCTGTATTCCTTGGGCTTCTCCTGCCAATCTCCTCCATACTTGGACCCAGCACTCCTAATAGGTGAGAGAGACTTCACCACATCTAGGTCCCCCCGACACCCTGTGCTGCCCTCCAGCCATTGTAATATACCCCACCCCATTCCTCACTTGGTACCTCTTGTTCTGAGAAGAGTAAGGTGACTCTATCATTCCTAGAAAAGATAAATCAGGGGCAGCTAGGTGGCGCAGTGGATAGAACACTGGCCCTGAAGTCAGGAGGACCTGAGTTCAAATCCAGCCTCAGACCAAACACATGACACTTACTAGCTGTGTGACCCTGGGCAAGTCACTTAACCCCAAATGCCTAAAAATTAAAAAAAAAAAAAAAAAGAAAAGATAAATCAATTGCCTTTCACTCTACCCAGCAGCTCAGTGACTTCTCAGATCAAAATACTACTTCCCCTAGATGTGTCTTCTCAGACTTTCTTTTGTTGTTTTTTGTATTCTTAGTGCTTACTGAGCACAGTGCCTGGCACACAGCAAACCCTTAATGTGTTTTCATTCATTCCAGCAAAAGCCATTGTCAAGATATTATTAGGAGACACCCTGTTTTCCCGAGCTAAGGCCCAGAATGTAAGCTGTGCCCTGAGCTTGGCACAACAGTCCTTTGCACACACTCTCTGGATGAATACTGCTGCAACTAAATCACAGAACTAATGATCCCTGAGCTTGAGCAAGCACCAATAAGCCCCAGACATGAAGCCCTGCTATGAACAGAATTTTTGTCACTGTACAACCTTGCCTCACTGTTGCTGCTTTGCCTCTGTACTGTTGCTACAGTGTTTGATTCTTTGTTTAGCCACAAATATATAAATCAAGGTTTAGCCACACTAGAGAGGTTCCCCCAAGGTGTGGTTGTGGGGAGTGCGGCACATGTGTCTTGCTCCCTCCTGGCTTTCAAGCCATTTCTCTCACTTTGAAATTAAACTTGTTTGATTCCTGACTCTCCTGTCTCTATCCTGTTCTGTTTGGCTCTGGTTAATCCAACAGGTTAGAGGCCAGTTTCTCTGATAATGGTGGAAGCAGTCAAAACTTCTCTTCCCTCATTTCTCTTTAAGAAATAGTAAGAATGCATTTTAAAAGTATCCTAGTTCTTTTTTATCTTTCTTTGTTTTTTTCTGTATGTTTTCTTTTACAACATGGCCAAAATTGAATTATGCTTTGCATTACTTCATACATATAACCTAAATCACATTCATTGCCTTCTCAAGGGACAAGGGAAAGGTGGAAAAGAGGGAGATAATTTGAAACTCAAATTTTCTAAAAATGAATACCACTTTGTTTATATCTAATTTGGATACATTTAATGAAATAAATATTCCATATAATAATGTCTTTAAAAAAAAAGTATCCTAGTTCAAGCCTTTGGACTAATCTGGAAGAAAAACCTTTCAGTCTTTCTTTAACTATCAGTTCTAGGTCCTACTCTTCTCTATCAGACTAGCCCAAGAAGGATTTCTCCCAAGAAGTAATTACGGTAATGAGGGAGGGAGAGGAGAGGTGTGGTGCCAAGGGAAGTGCCTAGATGCCTAAAAGGGATAAAAGACTCCTTTTCCCCAAGAGCAGTGTTTTCTTTTCTCACTTCCCTGAAGTAGGGCACCAATCAAAGGGAGGAGGTCTCTTTCATTACTTCACATCACCAGTGACTAGCTTGGGGGAGATCTCTGGAGAAAAGTGACTACAGTGAGTAGTTTCAGGAAAATCATTCTCCAGGGTTGTGCCAAGTGTTTTATTTGATGAAGCAAAATGTCACCCTCAACTGCATAACTATATTCTATCAATTTTCCTATGTCCAAGAATACCATAAACATTATTTCATATCTTCTGTTAGAGAAGGACATATCTGAGAGTATGAGGAGTTTGAACATTTTGTTTTCAAGAAGAACAATGATCAGTTTTAGACTAATGGCAAATAATGTACCTGAGGTGAAATAACTGTTTCAACTACACCCTACAACTATTCATAACCTTATTTCTGTGGAGAGATACATGGTAAGTTCTAAATTATCTAGGAAACCAGTGGAACCCTCTTTTATCCTAGTCTCTTGGGCTCCAAAACTACTTTTAACTATTCTAGTCTGTACAATCAATGGTTAAAGAAGACTTTAAACACTTAATCATAGATGTTAGTACTTAATCACATGTCACTTATTCAATTGAATTTATCTAATTCAATTAACAATTGCTAAGTACCATTTATATGCAAAGGAGGCAACTGGGTAGTTCTGTGGATAGAGTACCTGGCCTGGAGTTGAGAAGACTTGAGTTCAAATCCAGCCTCAGACACTTACTAGCTGCATGACCCTGGAAAAATCACTTAAGCTACGTTTGCCTGAATCTACTGCCACTCTAATATCTTTGCCACGAAAACTCCAAGGACAGTACTAGCATGGTATGGCCCATGGTGTCACAAAGAGCTGGACATGACTGAATGACTAAACAGCAGCAGCAACAACAATTTACATGCAAAGTACTGATGCCAGAAGTAATACATAGTTTCTGCCTTTAAGTAACTTACATTCTACTAGGCTTATTAAATGGGGACAAACAGGTGAGACTCTAAGTCTTTGAGACCTTGGGTGACTTCTGGTAGGCCACGGATGGCTTTTCTCTGAAAGGTGTGGAACTTTGGAAAGATGCAGTAAATTTTGGGTTGGTCCCTTCTTCTTCCACTCTCACCAAGAGGGGAACAAGAGGAACAGGGAAGAGGTACTGCATCAGTTTCAAAATGGAGTAAAGGTACTCTCATTTTGTTTTTCCTTTCTTATGAGGAAGACAAGTGGCACAGTGGACAGAGTGCTGGACCTGGAATCTTGGAGTTCAAATCCTGACTTAGATGCTTACTATGTGACCTTGTGCAAGTCACTTAACTTTTCTCTGCCCCAATTTTGTCATCTGTAAAACAAGAATAATAATAGCACTTACCTCCCAGAGTTCTTGTAAGGATAAAATGAAATTATATTTTAAAAATACTTTGCAAACCTTAAAGCACTATATAAATGTTAGCTGCTATTATTACTATTCCTCTTTCTAGAATGTGAGGTGTGATGCTTACACATGGCACAATGCACATGTCAGAAAACATTTATCCAAAAAATATTTATCAAGTCCCTGCAACGTGCCAGCCACTGTGTTAATCAATTGAGATACAAAAAAAAGCTCACAATCTAATGGGAGGGACAACAAGCAAACAAATATGCACAAACAAGCTAGATACAGGAAAAACAGGAAATAATAGAGGGATGGCACTAGAAGGGTTGGGAAAGACTTCCTGTAGATGGGATTTCAGTTGGAAGGAAGCAAGGAAAGTCAGTGGTGGAAAGGAGGGAGAACATTCCAGGCACGGAGGACAACCAGAGAAAATGGCCAAAGATCGAGAGATGGAATGTGTTATTTATGGAACAACAAGGAGCATGTCACTGGATCAAAGAATATGTGATAAGGAGTAAGGTGTAAGAAGTCTGGAGAGGTAGGAGGGGCTAGGTTATGAAGGGCTTTGAATATTAACCAGAGGATATGTGTATTCAATCCTAGAAGCACTAGGGAACCACTAGAGTTTACTTGGCGGGGGTGGGGGGGACACATGGTCAGATTTGTGCTTTACGAAAATCACTTTGGTGACTAAATGGAGGCTGGATTAGAAGGGGAAGAGACTTCAGGCAGGCAGACCCACCAGCAGGTTATTGCGATAGTCTAGGTAGGAGGTGATAAGGGCCTGTATCAGAAGGGTGGCAGTGTCAGAGCAGAGAAGGGGGTATACTGGAGAGACACTGAAATAGATAGGCCTCAGTAATAGATTTGATATGGAGGGTGAGAGATAATGAGGAGTCAAGGATGACATCTAGGTTGACAGCCTGAGGGACTAGAAGGATGGTGTTGCTCTGGACAGTAATAGGGAAGGCAGAGGAGTTGGGGAGAGTTTAGGGGGAATAACAATGAGTTCGATTTTAGACATACTGAGTTTAAGATGTCTGAAAGTCAACTGGAGATGTACAAGTGGAGGTGTGAACGTGGGCTTTGTAATGAATATACTATTATGTTAGAACTTCCCTTCTTCACAGAGGAGCAGAACAATGGAGTTACATGACAACCAGTCAACCAGAAGGATTTCTGAGGCTCAAGGCTGCTTGACATACCAGTGATCCTTTGCGAGTGAATTCTAGCTGAATTTGGAGATGCCTGTAGCTTCCAGAAACCACAGAACAAGCCTTGATAAGCTCAAGGGCAACCTTGAGCAGAAGAAGCTGCAGATTCAACACCTTACTTGGCAGTTTCTAAACATCCTGCTGCCTGGCTTATTCTGTCTACAGATGACTTCTCCCTTAACCACACCATCCCCTAACCCCATTTCTCATCCGAAAGCCTCTAGAAACTATAATATCTCACCCTTTTCCTATTCCCCTTTGAGGAGCTGAGAACTCTCTCTCCCTTTTTACTCCCTTGTAGGATCTTCTCTTCCTTGCAAGCCTTTTCTCAGACAATGCTTTGTAATCTGTGATTGGACTCTGTTTCATTTCAGGTCCCTTTATAGGCCTGGGGAGGTGTCTTTTGTTAACAGAAGTCAGCAGAGAGTTAAGGCAGGATACAAAGATTTGAGAATCATTAGCAAAGAGAAAGTAATTAAATCAACTGGAGCTGATGAGATCACCAAGTGAAGTACTATAGAGAAAGAAGAGAAGAGGGTCCAGGATAGAACCCCTATATAACATCTACGCTTAGAGGACATGATCTGGATGAGGATTTAGCAAAGGAAGGGAGAGAAGCAATGGTCAGATAGGTAGGAAGAGAACCAGAAAACTGGTGTCCTAAAAACTGAGAGAGGAGGAAAGAGTGATCAACAGTGTCGAAGGCTGCAGAGAGGTGGAGGAAAATGACAGAAAAGGCCACTGGATTTGGCTATTAAGAGATCATTTGTAACTTTGGAGAGAAAAGTTTTGGTGGAATGATAAGGTCGGTAATTGGACTATAAAGGGTTAAAAAGACAGTGCGAGGAGAGAAGTGGAGCCACCTACTATAGATGGCCTTTTCAAGGAAAAAGGGCAGAAGAGATATGGAATGATAGTTATTGGGGGTGGAAGAATCAAATAAGGGTTTTTTGAGGATGGGGGAGACATGGGTATATTTATAAGCAGTAGGAAAGGAGCCAGACGAAAGGCAGAAACTGAAAATAAGTGATCTATTGGGGATGATGAGGGTGGGGGCAATTTGTTGGAGCAGATGCAATGGAATAGGATCACTTACCAAGTAGAGGGGTTAGCCTTGGTAAGGAGTAAGGTCATTTCATCATGTGAGAAAGGGGTGAAGGAGCAGATAGTGGCAGAATGCATCTGAGACATAGAAGATGAGGAAGAAGGGAGAAGAGGTGGCTTGTGGCAAAAGGTCTCAATTTTTTCTGTAAAATATAAGGCAAGGTTTTTAGCAGAAAGAGTAAGGGTAAGGGGAGTAATGAGAGTCATTTAGGAGGTTTGGAAGAGCTGCCACAAAGAGTGGGATAGTGAGTTGATAAGGGGTGTAGAAAGACTACTTAGAAGCAATGAGGGCTCAGTTGAGGTCATTTAACATAAATCTGTAGTGGACCCCATCAGAATGGTTACATACTTCTATCTTCGTTCAGCAGCATGTGTCTAAGGAATGAAGGCAATGGAGGGTGGAAGTGATCCAAAGTTGAGACTTGGTAGGGTATGATCAGTCAAATAAGGGTGGCTAGAAATTTAAAAGAAGATAGTATAGAATTAAATTGGTTCACTAAGGGATCAAGATGGAGAAAAGAGGACAGAGTGGTTAGTGCAAGGAAGATGGCCTGGGAGAGAACTGGGGGATCACATAATTGGAGGTCACAGTGTGGACAAAGAGTAAGGCTTGGTAAGGGAAGGCAGAAGGAGAGGCAGAAAGTCAACAGATTATGGTTGGATAAGTAGACCTTGGAATTCTTTTTTTTTTTTTTTGGCTAGGCAATGGGGTTAAGTGACTTGCCCAGGGTCACATGGCTAGTAAATGTCAAGTGTTTGAGGCTGGATTTGTGGACTTTGGAATTCTTGAAGGAAGTGGTACATTTATAGGTGATGGCAAGATCAAGCGTATGACTATCTTAGTGTGTGACTGATGGAGTAGGTCATAGGAAGTGAGTAGGTTGAGGAATTAAGTAATTAGGGTGTTTGAGGTAGAGTTATTGTGTACATTAAGTCCCCTAGTATGAGGGCAAGAATTGGGGAGGAGACAGAAACTGTGAATCATATATTGAACTCACTGAGGAAAGAAGAGGGGTGTGTAGACAACAGCTACGGGGATTTTGACTGGGTGTAGAGATGAATAGCATGAAGGAGGAGAGGTTATTGAGTGAAAGAGGTAGGGTGGAAGTGGCAATGGGGAACAAGGAGTATTCCAATTCCTCTGCCTTGACCAGTGAGCTGAGGGGAGTGAATGGAGGTGTAGCCAATACTGGAAAGGATAGCCAGGGAACTATGTCACCAGGGAGACACACATTTTAGTAATAGCTAGAAGACGGAAGGACTGAGAAAAGAAAAAAAATCTGGGAAAGGAAGTTTGTTGCCTATGGAACAAGAACTCCAAAGAGCATAACAGAAATGGAGAGTGGCATTTGGGTGGAACTTTGGGGTGGGAGGGTTAAAGGGGATAAGAATAAGGAATAGGTTGGTGTGGAATGGCTAATGGGGTTTGGAGGATGACCTACAGGGGAGCACATGTGCTGCCTAGGTGAGCCTGAGTCTCGGGTCTCTGCCATTAATGTTTTGTGCTTTTTTTCTCTATCATAGGTGATCTTGAATAGTGATCCTTAAGATGGCAGTTTCTAGCTCTGGAAGCAGACATGTGAATTCAAAAGATTGGGAGCTCCTGAGTCCCTTGGAGAGTTTTATGAACAGTGCAAAGCAAGAGAAGATGAAATTAGTATTTAACAGTCCCTCTAAGGGTTCCGTGTTTAAGTGTTGATCTCTGGAGATCAACAACAGTTTTAGGTTACTGCTTCATGTTTAAGTTTTGTTAATGTGCACTTGTGATTGTGTTTTAAGCATTTCTTTTGAGTGAAGCAAATAAAGAGCTGCTCTATATTTGACCTATACTGCAGATAGTATCTTTTTACTTCCCTTTTAGGGAAATCCTAGATGTGAGCTAAACCTAAGCTCTAAGTGATTATCTCTAGGGCTCTAGGATGGGAAGGGCTTAAAAAGCCAGTGTTCAAAAAAGAAAATCCTAACTTCTCTCTTTAGAGGCTAGGCGCCCCTACTCTGAATACATGGGTACACAGTTTAGCACCCCTTAAAGGGAGAAAAGTGCCCTCGCCTCCCTAGGATTGGTTAGTTATAGGGAAATATATCACAGGCATGGTTGGCTTTGTGATTCTTAGAGGAGACAGAACCATCAAGTTTGTTTTCCCCTCAAAATGGAAAGCAGCATGGCAGAAACCAGGTACAGAACATTTCATACCACATACCAAAACAAGGTCCAAATGGCTATATGATATAGACACAAAAAGTTATATCACTGGACATGTATAACCTATATCAGATTGCTTGCCATCCTGGGGAGGGGGATTCAAAGGGAGGGAGAAAAATTTGGAACTCAAAATTTTATAAAAAAAATGAATGTTGAAAATTATCTTTACATGTAATTAGAAAAAAGAAAATACTATTTACTAAAAAAAAAAAAAAAAAAAAGATATGCCACAAATAAATTAGAGGAACATGGAAGAAATTACCCATCAGATCTATGCATAAGTGAAGAATTCATGACCACACAAGAGACAGAGAGAATCATAGGCAATAAATTGGACAATTTTGATTACATAAAAATAAAGAGGTTTCTGTACAAACAAAACTAATGCACCTAAAATTAGAAGAGAAGTAGTTAAGTGGGGAAAAAAATCTTTGGAGCAAGTTTGTCTGATAAAAGTTTCATTCCTAAAATATATAGGAGACTGAAATTTTTAAGGACAAAAAAAAAAGCCATTGAGGCAGCTAGGTGGTGCAGTGGACAGAGTACTGGCTCTGGAGTCAGGAGGACCTGAGTTCAAATCCAACCTCAGACACATGATACTCACAAGCTGTGTGACCCTGGGCAAGTCACTTAACCCCAATTGCCTTGCAAAGCAAAACAAAAAAAGTCATTTCTCAATTGATAAATGGTCAAGAGATATGAATAGGAAAAAAAAGTGATGACTAGGCAGTTTAGTGAGGAAGAAATCTAAGCTATCAATAGCCATGTGGAAAAAAATGTTCTAAATTGCCAATAATTAGAGAAATAAAAATTAAAACAATTCTGAGGTTTAACCTCACACTCATCAGATAAGTTGACAAATAAGGAAAACGTCAAATGCTACTGAGGATATGGGAAAACAGGTACATTTATACACTGTGGGTGGAACTGTGAAATGGTCCACTCAGGAAAGCAATTAGGAACCACACATATATCCAAAAAACTATTACATTGTGCATACCTTTTGACCCAGCAATATCATTATCCAACAAAGAGATCAAAGAAAGAGGAAAAGTACCCATATGTACAAAATATTCCTATCAGCTCTTTTTGTTGTGGCAAAGATTTGGAAACTGAGGAGTACCCATAAAACGGGGACCCATTATGATATATGAATGTGTTAAAACACTACTGTGCTATAAGAAATTAAGGAGATGGTTGCTGGAGAAGACTTGTATGAAATGATATAGAGTGAAGTGAGCAAAACTAGGAGAAGAATGTATACACTAATAACAATATCATAAAGACAAACAACTCAGAAAGACTTAGGAACTCTGACCAACACAATAACCAACCATAGTTTCAGAGGATTCATGCTTAACCTACCTCTTGATACGGAGGTTAACAGATTCAGAGTGAAGATTAAGACACATTTTTTGAATATGGACAATGAAAGAAAATCTGTTTTGGTTGACTGTACATGTTTGTAATATAATTTTTGTTTTTCATGCGTTCTCAATGGGGAAGGAAGGGTAGGTAGCTAGGACAGAGAGAGAATTTGAACCTGAAAATTTAATAAAATTGAGCTGAAAAAAATTTTTTTAAACTCCAAAAAAAACATTGTTTCCCTCCCATTAGAAAATATATGTTATCTACAGACTAAAAGAACATTAAAAAGGATCTTAGAGAATAAAATCCAGCCCTGTCCTAATTTAACAGGTGAGGGAGTAGAGGTCTAGAAATGTTAAGGGATTTGCCCAAAGTTACAATGCCATTTGGTTAGATCTTGTACATAAGGAGGACAAACAAAGGCTTTCCTAGCTCCCTGGGACCTGCTTGATTGCCTATTTTATATTACTTACACTACAGAGCTTCTCAATTCCCTCAAGAGAGTCAGAATGCTTGTGAAAGGCTCCTCCATGTTCTGGATGCTTTTTCTTTCTTGGTAAGTGATGTCTTGTGCCTAACAAATAGAACATGCTGGGGATCAAACAAAATCATTCATCTATACTGAAATTCAAATAAGAAAGTATTGTAAGAGTAGTGGGAAAGAGCTGATATGCTTCTCTATGACAAAATCATTCTGTGCTCTGTCAAGGATAGATAAGAATGGATATCATGGTCTGGTTCAGATTTTGTAGAAGATAAAACCATTTTGGACTAGTCTACGTAAAAAAGGCATCTCTAGGTAATAGCTCTTTCTACCATCACTGAAGAAGGAGAGACCAGATTCTGAATACCAAAATTCAATGCCAGTGTTTTTTTTCAGCATAAGGATATATTACAATTTCGAAAATGTCCTTCTTTGACTTACAAATGATGATGAAACCACTTTGTATTTCATATTATAATGGTAGGGAAAGTATCCAAGGGATTTTCAGGTGCTTGGGAACTTAGCTTACAAACATATAAAGAAGGGGTCATATTCTTAACCTGGGTTCCACAAGCTTGTTGTTTTTTTTTTAAATTTTATAACTATATTTTAGTATAATTGTTTTCATTTGTAATCTTTTGTATTTTATTTTACGTATCTACAAACATTTTGAGAATGTTTGTAGTCTTTACCAGATTGCCAAAAATGTTTGTGACACAAAAAAGGTTAATAATCTCTGTAATATAAAGGGAAGATCTTTAGGGTAACAACTATTCTGACCTTAGGATTGGGAGAATTAGTGTGGTTTGTTTAGAGAAAGTCAAGACTGTGTGCAAAAATATGAGTGGGCATCTCTTCCTGAACATGGAGTGCTTAGGTTCAAGCTGAGTTTACAGTATAGTTCAATTCAACTGTTAGATCCACGGTCATTCAGCCACCCTTGAAATGGAATGTACTTCAAATCCTAGAACCTCAGAGTTGGAAGCATCTTAAAGGTCCTCTTCTCCAACCTTACATCCCATCTCCTCTACCATATCTCTTGCAGATGGTTATTCATTCTCTGCTTAAAAGTCTCCGGTGACAAAAAACTGCTCACCTCAAAAGGCACCCTATTCTATTAAAAAATATATTATTGATGCCATGTCTTTGCATCACAGTCATTTCTACTATCCCACTCCAGACTGAACCTGCCCTTGTAACCAAAGAAAATGATTAAGCTTTTGCTTAATCTGATATATATCTGATCTGATATAGCGACTATCTCATCCTGGTCTTTTGCAAAGCTCGATGGTTGGAAAGTTTTCTCAAAAAGTTCTCGTATAACACAATTGTCACATTCTTTATCATCCTGGCAGCCTTCCCCACAGAATTGTATGTGTAATAGGGGTGAGGAAGGTCAGGAAGAGGGATGAGATTTGGCCAATGAGAGCCCAGTTCTCAGAAGCATGCACATTGTGCACATGGTTGGAGGCTGTCCTATCCCCATCTTCATGGATTTCTAGAAGCAAGGTCCTAAAGGCTCCACATGGGAACTGCATCAGGCAGAGCACCATGTGCATGCTCCTGAGGACTAGGCTCCCATTGTCCAGGCTACCCATTTACATAATCACAGAATATCAGAGTTGGAAGGGACCTCAAAGTCTACCTAATTGAACTCCTACTTTGACAAGAATTCCCATAATACATACAGTAAGAGGTCATACAGTCACTGCTTAGAGAACTCCTAAAGCAGCCCATTAAACTTTTGGAGAGCTATCATTGTGAGAAAATTTTTTTTTTACATGAACACTAAGTCTGCTTCTCCACAATTTTCACCTGTTGCTCCCACATCTGTCCTTTGGGGACAGGCAGAATAAGTCTAATCCCTCTTCAATAATACTTGAAGTAGGCTAACATATGTCCCTGCTGAGTCTTTTCTTCTTCAGGCTGGCTATATATCCCCAGTTCTTCCAACCAATCCTCAAATGCCATGATCTTAAAGCCCTTCACTATCCTGGCCATTCTTCTCTGGCCAATTTATTGATGTTGTTCCTAAAATGTGGCATCTAGAACTGAACACCACACTCCTGGTGTATTCTGACTAATGCATGGTACTTCTCTGTTCCAAGGTACAATCTTTTCTTAAGGAAGTCTGAGATCACAATTTTGGGGTTATTTTAGAGAGTATTCTATCACAATGATAACCTGAAATGAGCCTGCATTTCACTAAAACTTCCCAGTCCTAGCCATACCACTACTTCCCATCTTATATGTTAAGCTGATTTTTTAATTTAAGTGTAGACTATATTTATCCTTGTTAAATTTCATCTTATTATTATACTTAGCTCAACATTCTGACCCGTCAAGATCCTTTTGTATTCTGATTCTGTCATAAAGTATGTTTGCTATCCCTCCTACCTTTTGTATCACGTGAAAGTTACTAGCATAGGAACACCACTTATTCGCTAGAGTTAAATATCCTATTGACCCAATTTAATTTGCCAGACTGCCCTTTTTCAAATGTGCTGCCTAGAAGCATACTCCAGATGTGGCCTGAATGGCATGGAGTATAGTGGGACTACCACCTCCTTTATAGATATTAGACTTCTATTTATGCAGTTTAAGCCTGTATTAGCTTTTTATGTGGCAATCACATTGATATTACTTTTTTCATGTTGGGCTTGTGGCTGACTCAAATCCACAAATATTTTTTCATATGAGATGTCACTGAGTCAAATGTCTCCAATCCTGTATTTGCATGGGATGGAAATTACTGAAGTTGATTCCTTTAGGACAAAAGTTTCCATCTAATAAAATAAGATATAATGTCTCAATCTCTCTCTCCCCCTTCCCTATATAGTTCCTCGCCTGAGGACAGGACCCAGGGAAAAGAATCTGCTGCTTCAATCTAGCAGAAGTAGTTCTTAGAGACATGCCTAGAGCTGAATAATAGGCTATGTAGCTTTCCTATTAGACATAAATGTGGGCAGAACACCTGCATAGATATTACTCCTGCAATCAGACTTACCTATTACATTGTGGAACTTCATCTCTTCCTCACTGTCCTCACCGTCAGAGTCATTGTGGATGATTTTCTCACATTCATCCTTTCTTCCTGGATCATCGTGATCTCTGGGAAGATCAGTCTGGTGGCAGTCAGTATTCACTGGTTCCCTAAGAAGAGGCTGCTTCATTGATTCAGATTCATTTTCTATCTCACCGTTTGAAGTGAGATTGCTCTGAGGATACCAAAGAAGACTTCCAAGCTGTCCACTAGCTGCTTTTTCGGCCATTTCTTTCACTTCAGCTAGACCGCAGAATAACAAAGTTCAATATATCTTTTCATCATGAACATCTGAAGTGATGATTTTTAGTTCCTAAAGAGTGTCACTGCTACTATTGCAACTCAAGAGTATAGTAGTGGCACCCCTTATATAGGATCATGGGATTTTGAGCTGAAAGGGACCTTGGAAATCATGTTGCCCAATGCTCTCATTTTACAGGAAAATAAAGAGACAGGAGCCAAGATAGCAGATTAGGGGCAGTTACACAGTTGAACTCCTCCAAAAAACTTTAAAACAATGCCTCCAATCAAATTTTGGAGTGGCAGAATCAATAAAAAGTCACGGTGAGATATTTTTCTGACCTATGAAAACTTAAGAGGTAGTCAAGAAAAGTCTGTAGCATTGGGGTGGAGGGCTATCTAGAACCCATGCTGGTGACAACAGAAGCAGCAGCGTGGGGAGCTCTCAGTCCAGAATGGTAAGGAGGTTGGACAACTAATCAGAAAGAGATTACAGACCCTTTGCTGGCACTCGGTACAGCGGGTGCTGATTGGCAACTCTATTGCCCATATGTAGTTCTGGGTTGAAGTTCCAGGGTGGCAAGGAGTGCTGACAGTTAATCAAAAAGGAGCAAGAGCCCTGGTCACAGTACCAAAGCAGAGAGGAGCACTAGTACATTCAACTTCAGGGGACCAGGTGCCTTTTCTGGGTAAAGACTGGAGCACAGACTAAGAGAGCAGTGACCATACCTTTCCTAGAATCACACCAACCTAGAAACAACAAAAACTTGCAGACCCACCCCAAGAACTAGTTCTGAAAACAGCAGCCCAAAAAAGCCTGAAGTTTGAGACAGTATATTACTACACCTACATGAGCAGAGCCCAACTTTAACATAAAGGTCAAAGTCAAGAAATAGGATGGAAAAATGAGCAAACAACAAAAAATAATTTGACCATAAAAAGCTACTATGATGGCAAGCAAGGCCAAGACATAAATTCAGAAGAAGATAACAATGTGAAAACAGCTACCAAAAAGGCCTCAAGAAAAAATGATAAATGGAACCAAGCCCAACAAGAACTCCTAAAAGAATTAAAGAAATGAATGGTAGAGGAAAAATTGGGAAAAGAAATGAGAAAGATGGAAGAAAATTATGAAAAAAGAACAACTTGGTAAAAGAGGCACAAAAAATACTGAAGAAAATAACAAAAAACATAACTGGCCTAAAAGAGGCATAAAAATTCACTGAAGAAAACTACTCCTTTAAAAGCAGTGGGAACGGGGCAGCTAGGTGGCGCAGTGGATAGAGCACCAGCCCTAGATTCAGGAGGACCTGAGTTCAAATCTGGCCTCAGACACATAACACTTATTAGCTGTGTGACCTTGGGCAAGTCACTTAACCCCATTGCCTAACCCCACCCCAACCCCCCCCAAAAAAAGCGTTGGGAAAAATAAAGTGGAAAAAGAAGTACAAAAGCTCACTGAAGAAAATAATTCCTTAAAAATTAGAACTGGGCAAGGGGACACTAATGACTCCATGAAACAATATGAAACAATAAAACAAAGTCAAAATAATTAAAAAAACAGAAGAAAATGTGAAATGTCTCTTTCGAAAAACAACTGACCTTGAAAATAGATCGAGGGGGCAGTTAGGTGGTGCAGTGGATAGAGTACTGGCCCTGAAGTCAGGAGGACCTGAGTTCAAATCCAGCCTCAGACCAAACACTTGACACTTACTAGCAGTATGACCCTGGGCAAGTCACTTAACCCCAACTGCCTAAAAAAAAAAGAAATAGATCGAAGAGAGATTACTTAAAAGATACTGGAGTACTTGAAAGCCATGAGCAAAGAATGAGCCTACAGACATCATATTTCAAGAAATTATGAAGGAAAATTGCATCAATTTCACCAATCCAGAGGGTAAAATAGAAATGAAAAAAATCTACTGATCACCTCCTGAAAGAGATCCCCAAATGAAAACAGAATGAGGAAATTTTTCTCACATAAAAGAGGTATGCAAGAAAGAGTTTTTACAGTGGAGGGGAAAATGCAGGGTGGGTGTGGCAGGCAATACTTGAACCTCACTCTTATTGAAATTGGTGCAAAGAAGTGAGAATACACACACACACACACACACACACACACACACACACACACACACACACACACACACACTCTCTCTCAGCTGCATATAGAAACTTACCCAATAAGGAAATAGAAGGGGAAAGGGTAAGAGGAAGGGGAAGGTGATAAAGGGGAAGGCAAATTAAGAGAGGCAGTAGTTAGAAGCAAAAGAGACTTTTGAGGAAGGACAGGATAAAAAGAGACAGGAAAAAACAGAAGATAATGGGATGAAAAGAAATACAGTGAGTAACCATAAATGTGGATGTGAATAGGATGAGCTCACTCATAAAACAGAAGCAGATAGAAAAATGGGATTAGAACCAGAATCCAACAACATGTTGTTTATAAGAGACATTCTTTCTTTTTTTTTGGTGGCGTTAAATGACTTGCCCAGAGTCACACAGCTAGTGAGTATTATGTGTCTGAGGCCACATTTGAACTCAGGTCCTCCTGACTCCAGGGCCGGTGCTCTATACACTGCACCACCTAGCTGCCCCTATAAGAGACATTCTTGAAAACAGAAAGATATACAGAGTTAAAATAAAGACCTAGAGCAGCATTTAATATGTAAAGCTAAAGTAAAAAAGGCAGGGGTAGTAATCATGATCTCAAAGCAAAAGCAAAAGTAGACCTAATTAAAAGAGATAATTAGGGAAATGACATTTTGCTAATTGGTACCACAGACAAAGAAGTAATTTTTTTACATTTTTTTTTTTACAGCAAGTTTCTCTGATAAAGACCTCATTTCTCAAATATATACTGAGTATAAAAGTGAATCAAATTTATCAAGATAAGAGCTGTTCCCCAATTGATAAATGGTCAAAGGAAATGAACAGGCAGTTTTCAGAAGAAATCAAAGCTATCTATAGTCATATGAAAAAATGCTCTAAATCACGGCTGATTAGAGGAATGAAAATTAAAACTCTGAGGTACCACTTCACACTGGATTAGAAATGACAAATGCTAGAGGGGATGAGGGAAAAACAGGTACACCAATGAACTGTTAGAGGAGTTGTGAACTGATCCAACTATTCTGGAGAACAATTTGGAACTACACTCAAAGGGATATAAAACTGTGCACGTCCTTTGACCCAGCAATTCCACTACTAGTTCTGTATCCCAAAGAAATTAAAAAAAAAAAAAGGAAAAGGTGCTACATACACAAAATATTTATAGCAGCTCTTTTTGTGGTGGAAAAGAATTGGAAAATAAGGGTTGCTCATCAACTGGGTAAAGGCTAAACAAATTATGGCACATAATTATGATGGAGTACTATTATGTTATAAGAAAAGACGTGGTGGGGTGGTTTCAGAAAAATGTGGCAAGACCTACATGAAATGATGCAAAGGGAAGTGAGAAGAACTAGGGGATCATTGTGCACAGTGACAGCCATGTTGTAATGATGATCAACTGTGAAAAACTTGGCTACTCTGATCAAAACAATGATCCAAGACAATTCTAAAGGACTCAAGATGAACAAAATGCTATCCACCTTCAGAGAGAGAATTGATGAACTCTGAGTGCAAACTGAAGTATAATTTTCTCACCTGAATCAAGGCTACAAGTAGAGGGGCTGGCCTTGGTGAGGAGAAAGGCAACATCTTCATCAGAAGATGAAGAGATTGAGGATGTCAAGAAGTTTTCAGATATAGAGGAGGAAAAAAGAGGGAACTCACAGAAAATGGCTTTTATTTTTCTCAGTAAAGTATGAGATGAGAAACTGTTGGGAAAGAGGGGCAGGAGAACGACAGGGTCATAGATCTTAGGCTGGAAGACATCTCAGAGACTACCTAGTTGGATTCTCCTACACCCACTTTTTTCTAACAGATGAAGAAACTGAGAAGTTAAATGACTGGTCCAAGGTCACATAGATATAAGCATCATAAGTCATAGTGGAATTCAAGTTTTCTGACTCCAGACCTATTCCTTATTGAAGACTGAGGAGAGAAGAGATTTGGACACATTTGTGAGAGGAAAACAATAAAAACTTGCCTTGCAACAGTGAGGGTTCAATTGACACTAGACAAAACAGATCTGTATTGTTCCCAGGGAGTATGACTGAGTAACTTCTCTGCACTGTTCGGTAACATATGAGTAGGAAGATGGTGAGGGTGATAGATTCAGAGGGGAAGAGACAATGGCAAGGCACAAGAGATGATAAGATGAAGGAACAAGGGCTTTGAAAGTAGACAACAGTGTAAAGCTGAACTAGTTAACTATAGAGTTGAAATTGGAAAAGGATATAATACATATACACGTATAGGGCTATACCTACGAATACATGCACATTTATATCTTTTCTAACTATGCCTACTTCTAAGTTCTAGAACGCAACAACAAGCATCAAATCCTACATTTGTTTAAAAGACACTTCTTTACACTGTGACTTCTTTACATTGACATAATTAGAACCAGAGTATACCAAAGAACACACTATATATTATCTTTTTTTATACATTTGAAAATATGTAAAAAATCTATGATTTTGTCAGCATGGGAAACTCCTGGTGTGGGAATACCCCATACCAATGCAGATGACAACCTACCCATGATTTAGATTCAGAGACTGTATTTGAACACGTTTTTCCTAATTCTAAGCCTAGCTATCTACTAGGCAGTGTTGTCATGACAACACACTTATGTATAGGGAGTTGAACATATATACATACACATATATAAAATAGAGTAAAATATATACTGCATACTATGTGATGACATTTGTCATATGAATTATACTATGTAACATTTTACATAAACAATAAACAAAATATAGAAAAGACACCACCTTCTCCATTTCATTGCCTGTTAGTCAAAAAGATGATCTTTTTAAGGTGAGATCTGCTGTAAGAAAATACCTTTTGGTCTTTCAGAGTAAAGGACGCTGCTATGGCCATAACCATTTTAATATATGTCATGGAATCATATATCCTAAATAGATATGAAAAAATAGATTGAATTAAATTCTATATAAATCATGACTTTATACTTACTTGTCCATTTTAATCTTGCTTCTCTGTCATCATTTCTTGTCTCTGAGTTATGGAATTCAGATGACATTGATTCCATATTCAACCTAAAGGGGTTTAGAGTTATTGTAGTTATCATTTCTTAAAAGAAAAACACATCTGTTTTGTTACTTGCCAAATATAAAGGCTATCAGTGCAACTTGAGAAACTGTCACTCCTAGACCAAACTACAAGTCACTGATTCTATCACTGGAAGTTGTATTCATGCTTTCCAACCACCAGAGGCACCCAAATCCCCAACGCTTTACCCATGAGGTTCCTTCAGCCATCTTCAAGGAGTGTGTGTGTATGGAGGGTTAAGGGGATGGGTGTGGAGGAGAAGAGGGCCAAGCTCTTTGGACCACAGGCTGGGTTCTTGTATTCAGGAAACCAGGCCACATTCAGTACAACCAAGTTACCTCCAGAGCTGCTGCTATGATGGACCCAGGTGACCCAGGCAGTCAAAAATGGCAGCATGGTATACTGAAAAGGGTATAAAATCCACAAGCACTTAAGTGATTATGCTAATTCTATTATTAACTAAATATGTGATCTTTGACACATCATTGAATTCTACCATCCAGTTTTCTAAATACTGGGCTCTTTCAGACTTCTTTAGCTTCTTATGTAACAATTCAGTTCAAGAATCATTTTCCCAAACAAGGGGAAACACAAGAATCTAAAATTCCTGAATCTTTCATTCATACTGAATTCATACTATTCAAAAATTTTATTTGAAAGCAAAAACTTTATTTTCACCACTGCTAAAATCGAAAGAAATGGAAAAAAAAAAAAGAAACGAAAAATTTTCCCCAGCAGAGCTGACATTGTAGTTACAGATTAAAATGATATCATCTCTGGATTTTTAAGTAAGAAAAACTGGAATTGATGTGATTATCCTGTTTCAATTTCTCCATCTTTCAACAGGTCTTTCTTATTCTTATTCTCAGTAGGAAATATTATGTGGACAGCTAGTGTTGCAGTGGCTAGGGCTTGGACTCATCTTCATGAGTTCAAATCTGACCCCAGACACTTACTAGCTGTGTGACCCTGTGCAAGTCACTTAACCCTGTTTGCCTCAGTTTCTCATCTGTAAAATGAGCTGGAAAAGGAAATGACAAACCACTCTAGTATTTTTGCCGAGAAAAACCCAAAATAGGGTCACAAGCAGTCGGACACGACTGAAATAACACAATAACAACAAGGAAATATTATTAGATTTTTTTTAATTTAAAAAAATTCCATATAATCATTTCAGCTGCTGTTTTTTCTCCTATGAAATCATTTTGTGCCCATTTAATTTCTTTGACTAATAATTATAGACCACAAGGTAACAGTGATGGCTTTGAAACCCTCAACTCTGGCTTCCCTGTGGTTTCTGAAATCAGACCTAACTGAATAGCTGGCTTTCCTTGTCATAAAGGGGAGATGGTGGGGGAAACCCAATTAAGTCATTAATGTGAGGGTAGATATTTTGCTTTTCACAAATTACTGATTATGCTTAGGCTGCTAGGATCAAACTTTTAATCTCTAATAGTGCCTAAAAGTTTTTCATCAGATGGATAATTTTGGCTACACTAAGCAAACAAGACACTTAAAAGCTTTTGGGGGTGGACTTAACTCTCCCATTAGTCACAAGATTTTAAAAATCACCAAGTAGCCTCAGTGTCACATAAATAACCCACCTGACTGTATTTTGGCTTCTGGCAGTAATTTCCAAACTCTTGTCATCTCCTTGTGGGTACTGTAACTTAACATTTGTGCACTGTTTACTGGCTCCACAAAATGATGATGGCTGAGGGGACAAAGGTAATATAGTTCTATGTTCTTCTTAGGTATACTTTGCTTCTTGTGACTACCACATTCATTTTTTGTTTTTTAAGTACAGGGGCTCTTCAAAGGGCCCATCCCACTATGATCAGCATAAGAGTTTTAACCTGCTCCATTTCCCACCTGGGCTGGTTCACTCCTCTTAGCCCCTCCCATGGGCTCACCATATCGATGCCAAATTTAGTTCAGACTCAGTTGGCATGACCCACCACAACACAGAACTGAGCTCACAGGATTTCTCAGCTTCAGCCTCCCTTACAGGTGGGATGACAAGCATGCACAACATGCTTGCTTACTGCCTTCAATTTTAAAAAATTAAATATTTTATCAGAAACATCAAACATCAATACCAATACCTACACTTGCTTTTGTAGCAATTTACACTTAAAGAATTAATTTCAAAGTATGAAGTATCCTAGCATTTTTTAGTTCTCTCTGGTAGGATTTTTTGTCCATTCATTCTCATTCCATTTTTGTGCAGCTTCTTTTTTCACTCTGAATAATATTATAAAGGTCTTCCCAAATTTTTTTGTATTCCTTATAACTGTCCATCTTAACTGCTTTATACTATTCAGACTAATATACCACAATTTACCTAATCTTTTCTCTACTGCGGGACATTTAGAATGCTCCCAGATTTTTGCAATTACACACGATGCTGCAATGAAGATCTTTGAAGAGAAAATGTTTTGCTTCTGATTAATACACCAGGATATACTCCTAACAATGAGATTTTTAGATCAAAAAGAATGATTATTTTTGTAGCCTTTATGGATACTGCTACAATGTTCTCCAAAAAGATTCTCCAAGTTTACCACGCCACTAGAAACGAATAATTATAGTGGTTTCTCTACATTCTGCAACACTGAGTTCTGTACCTTATAATTTTTACCAATTTAATGGGTAAGGGCCAGTACCTCAAAGTTATTTTATTTTGTACCTCTCTGATTATTAGTGAGGTCAAATACTTTTTCTTTTTATTTAATTAGAATTTTTTTCAATTATCAAGCATTAATTTTTCTCCTTTCCACCCTTTGCCACCAGAAAAAAAAAGAAAAAAAACCCCTCTTGTAACAAGCACAGTCAAGCAAAACAAATTTCCATAATGGATATATCAATATGAGATGAACACTTTTTAAAGTGATTATAAATAATTTATTTTTCCTTTTATTTAAACTGTTAATATCCTTTGGCGACTGTAGAGGAGGAGTTAAGACTACCACCTCCATTTTAAAAGTCATCCTAAATTAGATGAGAGGTCGTAGCTGCCCAAAATAAATCTTCCTTTTCGTGTTTCATATACAATAATCTCATTTATCTCTGGGTCACTTTCCAGACCCCTTGAACAAAAAAGCCATGAAGGCTTCTAGATGAGTGACCAAAAGGCACAAAGCCCATATCCTAAGGTTCACATATATTTTTTCTTGAATGGAAGCCTGGAGGAATTCTGCCTCTGAATTCTGAATTGTTTTATGGTCTATAAGAAAGCCGGTGGAGGTGATTTAATTCAGAGAGGGGCCTAGAAGGAGTAGGTAAACTTTGAACTGCTTATATGAGAAAGAGGATTTCCCCAGGAGTTGTGCTGATGCCTTTCAGACAATGGACAAAGAGACAGTGGCTGTCTGGAATTGTAAGTGGTCATTTATGTCAAGTAGTAAAATAAAAATTGGGGACATAAACAGAAAAGTGTTACAGTCCTTAATCTCAAGAGGCTCATACATTAATTGGGAGAAGCAGCTGATGTAGTGCATAGAATGTTTAGAATCAGGAAGACCTGAGTTTAAATACGACCTCAGATAGTAGCTGGGCTAGTCTGCCTCAGTTTCTTCCTGTAAAATGGAGATAATAACAGCACCTAGCACCAACATTGAAGGGTTGTGGTGAGGATCAAATGAGTAAATATTTGTAAAGCACTTAGTGCAGTGCCTGCAATTGTTTGTCCCCACCCCATCTTCGGCACATTGAGTCCAAAAAGTTCTAAAGGGGCAATGGTAGAATGGAAGAAGGAAAGGCCTGGGGGTTCTTAGGGACAAAAAGCACAGAACTGGAAGAAGCAGTTCCAAAGGAAGACTGCACAGTGGAAATGATGGGATGAAAAGGAAACAGGAATGGTGATCTGCACTAGAGGAATGTTCAACTCTTCCACCTTTTCCTGGGCTGCCTGCCACTTGTGTAATTAACCAAAAGCAGCAAAGAGATAGCAGAGCTGCCTGAGTCTGGGGTTGGGGGAGGGCCTCTGTCCTTTTCTGTGAGCATCAGTATGCGCAGCTGGGGCAGTAGATCCTTATGGAAAGGCAGGAAGTCTGGACTCCCTTAAAGAGGATTTCATTAACAAAGCACATCTCTTTGTGGTGGCTAGAGAGCTGGGCCTAGAGTCAGGAAGACCTGAGTTCAAATCTGGCCTTAAACATCGTCTAGCTGTGTGACCCTGGGCAAGTCACTTCACCTGTTTGCCTCAGTTTCCTCAACTGTAAAACAGGGGTAATAAACAGCACCTACCTTTCAAGGTTGTTGTGAAGATCAAACGAGAACATATCTAAAAAGCATTTAGCTCAGTGCCTGGCACACAGTAAGTTTAAGTAAATGTTAGCCAGTGTTAATGAACAATAAAGTGGTCCTCATACCCAGACCCTGAGAGAGCTCCAATGTCATCCCTCCCTCTTGGTCTAGCCTGCCCAATGCATTGCTTGCTTCTCTCCCTTTCCTTGCTCCCCTATTTTCCCACTTTACCTGGTGGTTCTTTTCAGTCTGGTCTCCACTGCTTTCTTCAGGTACAGACTGAAAAGGCTTCCAGCTGTGACTATTTTTTCTCTTGTGTCTTTGGCCAATGCTGCCAAGACCCATGCCCTGGAATTCTCTCCTTGCTCGAGCTGTCTTCACCAAGTTCTGGAAATAGTCAACACATCCAGGATGCTGTCCGGGTGCCTGTATGTAGCACTTCGTTGGGGGCCCGAAGGCGGCCCACACAGCTGATGGGTCACGACCCCTTGCACAAAATTTTAGGGCAGCCCACGGGGAGGACATCTGCTGCTCCTGTTGCCTTCTCATCGCCTCTAGTTTGCCTATCTTTTGTTCTGCATTTTGCAGGGATTCAGTCACCTGCTGCATTAAAGTCTGAGAGATCTTCAAGTTAAGAACACATTTACTGATATACTGCTCTGTTCTGGACTTGCTGCTTATGTCTGGCTTGGCTTCCCTGGTCACCTCTTGCACATGTGAATTGAAAGTGTCATTGAGAGGATCCCAGTGCTCAGAGGATGACTCTGTGCCTGTTTCAGAAATAGCATCGTCCCCGTTATAATCTGAGTGGGAAGCTTTGTTTATTTCAGGTGATCCTCCAGTTATAGACTTAGCTTCTTCCCCTTGGTTTTTTCCATTTCCTAAAAATGTATCTGATGTAGTAATTTCTCCCAAATTATTGTCACACGTATCCAAGTAACAAGAGTAAATTTCATTTATTTCAAAACTACGGAGGCTCTCATCTCCACAACTTGGGCTACAAGCCCTGGCCAATTCAAATGTAGTATCTTGAATTTCAGTTTGCTTAGCTGTCATACTGTGATTCAAAACCTCACATTCCAGTGCTGCTTTTTCAGGTAAAGCTGAGTGACATTGTGGTGAATCAGGCTGACAGCCTGTGGGAAAGAATCAACACCTTAATCTTCCTGAAGACTAGCAATGGGCCCTACATTGAGTCCCATGTGGCAGCCAAGCAGCCTTTTCTGATTATTGAAATTGGATCAGAAACCATGAAGCTGCCTTTCATTATTCACTCTACTTCTCAAATGTGGAATTCTGCCCTACAAATATAGAAATACACACTGCTACAATATGGGCATGAGTAGGAGAGATTTTTAAGAACCCCTGGGCCTATTATCTAGGACTTGCAGCAGTAGCAGCAAGCAGCAAGGGCTCCTCACCCCATTCCATAGGGAAGTGACACAGCATGAGGCACCATGGGGCCGTATTTGCATGAGGAGAGACCTTCATTCAAATCCTGTCTCTGATACTTACTATCTATGTTAACTATGAACAAGTCATTTAACCTAAGGAAGCCTCGGTTTCCTTATCAGTACAATAGAGATGTTAACAGCCATAATACTGAAGCTACAATGTTGCAGTGTGTAAAGTGCTTTGCCGACATCCATTAGCCTCTTCTCTCACACCTCTCCCTTTTCCAATCCCTTGCTTCCTGCCAAGCCTAGCTCCAGCACCGCCATCTGCAGGAAGCCTTTCCAGACCCACCCTGCTCCCAGCTGCTTACATCCCCTCCCAAATGACTTTCTATTTACTTTGTATATACTTTGTTCACCTTCCCAGAAGGACAGGGCTGTTTGTCTTGTTTGTACCTCCAGTGCCTAGCACAAAGCTGGGGACAGAGAGGGCAATTAATAAATGTTCACTGGCTGGCTGATTGTTATGATCAAAACGGCTCACATTCCTTGCCACTCAATCTCTTCGAAGTCTGGTCACCTATCCTGGGGAAGCCTTCCTTGATCAGCTCTTGCATAATACTCAGTTTATTCTTTTTAACCCTACCTTTCCTTGGCACTTATGTGCTCCTGGTACTGGATTAAATTTCCCCTCCTCTGTATGTCCTCAGGCACGTGGTTCTTTAATCTCTCTCATGTGCTAATGTGACATCTCCTCAATTACACTGGAAACTCCCTGAAGGCATGAACTACAGCTTGGTGTTACTGGTGAGTCTGTGTTGTGGAAATGCTGCTCTTACACAGATGTGGCCAGAACCGAGGTTCCTACCCCCAGCTTTGGGAAACAAGACCACAGAGGTGGCAGAGACAAGATGACAGAGAGGCAAAAAGAAGTACTGCAAGATTCACCCTCCCCACCAAATAATTCCTCCAAACATTTAGAAAACACACCAGACTGAGTATGGATGAGGAAATTCAAGGAAAATAAAAAATTTTCCACCTTAGATGGAGAAGTCTGCAGACAAGGGGATGGTTTAGCCAGGAGCCTGTGGCACTCCCAAGGAGTGATAGGCTGTATCAGGGCAAGAAGACCTAGCACAGAAAGGTCCAAACTAGCATAGGGTGGGTGCAAGTATAGGGCCTAAGCATCAGCTTTATCACTCACTACACAGGATAAACTGAGGAAGAGTACTCCAGGGCACAGAGGGATGGTGAGCACATATGAATCCAGAAGCAAGCAGCAGCTGTGTGGCTCAGACTCCAGGAATGAAGCAGATCTTAATTCCAGCCTCCAGCTAACTTTGCCTGCAGCTGAATAACCAAGGCAGGAATCCTAGACCAAAAGGAAGCCTGCAATTCTATTACTCTGAACTGAGAGAACTTTCCAGTTGTCTAAGAGGGGCTGGATCTAGCAGTAGACTCCCAAACCTCCAAATGGGACAGGCCCACAGCTCAGAACCAAGCCCAGGTAGGAATCTGCAGCACTCAGATCAGGAGGTCAGCAATAAGACTTTGCCCTGGATAAGACCACTTTGCAAGCCCTGACAGGTTGCAGGTCCCTAACCTGAATTGTCCCTGAGATGCCAGAATAACATAACATTAGATACCACAAGAAAGCAGCAGCAGGACTAGCCCAGACATTCCCTCCAAAAGCTTGGCCATAATATAAAGTCTGAAGTCAAGAAGTAATCTGGAAGAGTGAGCAAAAAAGAAGAGAATCCACCATAAAAAGCTTTATGGTGTGTGTGACCCTGGGCAAGTCACTTAATCCAACTGCCTCAAAAAAAAAAAAAAAAAAGCTATTATGGTGATAGAGAAGAGAATGATTCCAAAACATCTACAAACAAAGCCTCAAAGAAAAACACCTTGGGCACAAACTCAACTAGAATTCTTGAAAGAGATGAAACAATTTTAAAGAGAGTTAAATATTTTTATGAATGAAATGAGACTACTAGAGGAAAAATGAGGAAAGGAAATGAGAGTTATGGAAAAACTGGAAAGGAAATTATCAATTTGGCACAAAATCTTAGCAACAAACTCCCAGAAAATTAGAATGGACCAAACAGAAGCCAATGACTCCATAACACAAGAAATATTAAGACAAAAATAAAAGAAGGAAAAAATTGAAGAAAATATGTGCTACCTCATAGCTAAAACAGATTGAGAAAAAAAAATTAAGAATCATTCAACTACCTTAAAGCCATGAAAAGAATCTAGACATCTCATTTAAAGAAATCTTAAAAGAAAACTGTCCATATTGCCTAGAATCTGAGCGAAGTGGATATAGAAAGTATCTTTAAGTTGCCTCCTAAAAAAAAAAAATCAACCCTAAAATGAAAACTCCCAGGAACATTATAGTTCAAATTCAGAGTTCCCAGGTCAAAGAAAAAATACTACAGGCAGTTAGAAAGAAAGAATTCAAGCACTGAGGAATGATACTCAGGATCACATATGATTTAGCAGCCATCACCATAAAGGAAGATAGCAAAAGATGTTAGCTTATAATCAAGAATAACTTATCCATCAAAAGTGAGTATCCTCTTATAGGGGAAAAATGGATCTTCATTAAAATAGAGGACTTTCAAACATCCTTGATACAAAGACCAGAGCTGTGGAGAAATTCTGAAGCACAAACAAAGGAGTCGAGAGAAACATGAAAATGTAAACATGAATGAACAATGATAAGGGACTAAACAAGGATAAACTGCTACCATTCAAACATAGGAAAATGGCACATGTTCCCTCTGAGTTCTATAATCATCAGGGGTCACACAGAGACTATAATTAGACAGAAGGTTTAGGAGTGGTTCAGTTAAGTCTTGATGATCTTAAAAGAGGAATGGAAAGGAAGGGGAAGGAGAATATACTAGAAGGGGAAAGGAAGAGGAAGATTAGGGAAAATTATCTCACATAATTGGGATGTGCAAGCAGAATTCCATACAAAAAAGGAATAAAGAGTGATAAGAGTGGGTGACTTTCTGCTGACCTCCAGTCTCACATGTCCAATTGCCTTTCAGACATCTACTGCATGTCCTTTAGCTATCTTAGACTCAACATGTCTAAAATCAAATCCATTATCTTTCTCCCCAAACCCTCCCCTCTTCCTACCTTCCCTATTACTACAGAGGGTACATCCTCCTCCCAATCTTCCAATTTGGCAAACTACGAGTCACCTTGGATTCCTCACTCTCCCTACCGCCTCCCAAATCCAATCTGTTGCCAAGGCCTGTCAATTTCACCTGTGTACTATCTCTGGTATTCACCCCCTTCTCTCAGATATAGCCACCCTTCTGGTGCAGACTCTTACCACCTCCTGCCTGGATTATTGCAATAGCCTGCTGATGGGTCTGCCTGCCTCAAATCTCTCCTCATTCCAGTCTATCCTCCATTCAGCCACCAAAATGACCTTCCCAAAGCATAGATCTATTACCACCCCTACTCAGCAAACTCCAGTGGCTCCCTATCACCTATCACCTCTAAGACCAAACATACAATTCCATTTGGCATCCACGCCCCTTCATAATCTAGCCTTCTCCTACCTTTCCAGTCTTTTTATACCTTACTCCCAATCACATACTCGAATCCAGTGAAACTGGTCTCTGGATATTGTTTCTGGCTGCCCTCATGCCTAAAATGCTCTCCCTCTTCATTTTTGGCTTCTTTCAAGTCCCAACTAAAATCCTATTTTCTATAGGAAGCTTTTCCCAATCCCTCTTAATTCTAGTGCCTTCCTTCTGTAAATTATTTCCTATTTTTTCTGCACATAACTTGTTTGTATATATTTGTTTGCTTGTTGTTTCCCCCATTAGCTTGTGAGCTCCTTTTTGTTATCCAAACTGATTAGCACAGTGCCTGGCACATAGTAAGCACTTAGTAAATGTTTGCTGACTGACAAATTCTCATCTAAACTGTTGTAAAAGGAGAGAAGAATAAACACACATTTGGTACAGAAATTATTTCACTCAACAGCGACATAGAAGGGAAGGTAAAGCAAAGGGGGAATGAGAAAGAGGTTGAGAGATTAGTCCTAAGCAAAATAAACTTTAAGGACATATAAAGATATTTGTATGCATAGCTTTTTGTGGTGGGAAAGAATTAGAAACTGGGAGTGTGCTCATTAATTGGGGAATAGCTGAACTAGTTATGGTGTATAAAGGTGATAGAATACTACTGTGCTGTACAAAATGATGACAGGGAAGGTTTCAGGGAAGGTTTCAGAGAAACCTGGAAAGATTTGTTTGAACTGATACAGAGCAAAATGAACAAAACCAGGAGGACAACTTATACAATAACAATAATACTGTAAAGACAAATTAAAATACCAAGGAACTCTGATCAGCATAATGATCAATATGATTCCAGAGGATTAGTCATCATTTAAACATGTTATCCACCTCCTAATAGGTAAAACATTCATAGAGCCAAATAAGACAGACTGGAGGAAAAGGGTTAGGAGAAATCAAATGATTTCTTCCAAGTTAGGGCAGGGACTAAAATGGATGTCTCCTGGCTGCTTCATTTAATGTTTTCAGTTCACTCTACACTGCATATTTCCATTGGGCTAGGATGAATATTTTACATAATTATAACTGAATAATACAAATTTTAAAACATGCAACTTCACAGAATTCATTATTTGCACTGATTGTGTTTGTTCAAAAAGCTTAATAGAGATATTAGGATCTTAATTTTCATCTGAACGAGTCACTTTCCAAATTATGATTCTTTGATCAGTCAGTCAGTAAACATTTATTAAGCACCTATTCTCCGCCAGACACTATGCTAAGCACTGTGGATACAAAGAAAGGCAAAAGAAAGTTTCTATCCTTAAGGAGCTCACAGTCTGAGATTAATTCTCATCAAGCAGACACCTGTTAGTACTGGGCACATTCAATCTATGTAAATTCATTCCTTACCTGTTTCCTTCAGCTCCCGGACCTCCAAACCAAGGGCCTCTCTCTTATTTTCTGATGTCATGCCAAAGTAAATATTTATGTCATGATGCTTTTTATATTTCTGAACATTTGTGTTTTCAACTGGATGGGTTGTCTGGGCCTCAATTAAATCCTGTAACAGAGATATATTTTCAAGAACATATCAGCTGTCACATAAATGTTAGGGACAAGCCTTATCATGGGAGAGCTTCAAGGGCATGCATGACAACTACTTGTTGGGGTATTTTAGGGGAACTTCCTGTTTGAGTATGGTTTGTACTACAAAGTGTCCTCCCACTCTGAGATTCCATAATTCTAAGATGTAACATATAACAAATAGGGCCCTGTTAATATTTTTAAGGAGAATGAATTTTAGATAAGGACAATGTGAACATTGTTATTTGAAGAAACAAACAAAATCTCAAAGATTTCCATCTACGTCAGAGTGTATTACCTTTAAGTCATTCTTTAGAATATATTGAATATCTTGAAGATTCATAATCCGGTCTTTTTGTTTGACCTGTATGCCTGTCTTAACAATATCATAGTAAGTTTTTGGAAGTCTGGCATCTGTTTCTAAATGATTCCCCAAAATTATAGCTTCCTTAATATCTGAGCCTTCTAGACCATTCCAGGGTAGGGTATCTGGAAGAAAAATATTGTATAAGAAAATTAACCAGAGACAAATCAATAAAATGAAGTTGTGTAACCTTAGGCAACTCATAGCACCTCTTTAGACATCAATCCCTTCACCTGTTGATATGAAATGCTTTTCAAATTCTCTAAAACTCAGAAAAATGCAAATCAAAACAACCTTAAGATAATACCTTTTGACCATTAAATTGGCAAAAACATAAAATAAAACAAAATTCAATATTGGTTGTGCTGTTGGGAAGTAGATAGACTCTTACATTGTTTGTGGAACTAGTTTGGTGGAAACTTCTTAGAAAGACCTTTAGCAATAAGTCACATAATAAATAATAAAAGTCAAAAACTGATCTTATCCTCTGATCCAGTTATCTAATTACTGAAGGTCTACCCTAAAGATATCAAAAAAGGAGGAAAAAATACCTATCTGTCCAAAAGTATTCAATTCCAGCAACATTTATTCAGTGTCTTCTATGTGTCAGAGACCTTGCCAGGTGCTGGGGATAGTCTCTGCACTAGAAGGCTTTATATTCATAGCTGTTTTATTTGGTATATAGAGCAAGCAACCTATTTGTCCAACAACAAAGGAAATAGTTGAATAAATTATGGTATATTTATGTAATGGAATATTTTGGTGCTATTAAAAAAAAGAAAAGAAAAAATTCAAAGAAATGTAGAAAGATTTGTATAAACTGACGAAAAGCCAGATCAATAGAATAAGAAAAGTATACACACTGATTTAAAACAAAAACAAAGATAATAGATTTCTAAAAGTACATGACTGGACTCAGAATTAGACATGGGATAAATTTATTGTTTTTATTTTATTAACATTTGTTTTATTATTCTTTTCCTTAATTAAAATTTTAAAAAGCTTTACATTTTAGAGTTTTATTTGGAAACTTACTCTATATTTTTCTTTATTTCTTTCTTAGTATTTGTTGTTTATAACAATAAAAATCAAGTATAATATAAAAATCAGAATGAGAGGGTGGACCTAGACAGTCTTGAAGATCCCCTCTAGCTCTAACATCCTATCTCTCTATGATTCTATGAACTACAGCCATAAGAACAAAATACCTGGGAGAGGGAGTAAGGGATACATGGAAAGAAAGGATCCTATAAAAAATTCAGAAAAAATGTGGGTGGACTCTTGGAAAATGATGCAGACAAGAACTTTCTACCTTATTAATCCAAGCCCGTGCCTTGTAAAAAACTCAATGCATATTTTCATGTAACAGGAAAATGAGTTATAGGAATTAAGATGAATTTAATCTAAGATTTTGAACAATTGTCATGTGATTCTGGTCTTAAACACAATTTCTTATTGGTTAAATTTTCATTCATTTTTCATTTCGGACTCTCCTGAGTCAAATAATTCTTCATAGGGAAATTGGGATCAGCAAGTGTTTGATTTACTTACAAGCTGAATTGCAGTTATATTATTACCAGTTAAAAACAGAAATGCTTGCTGAGCAAAAAAAAAACAAAAAAAAAGGGATGTGTGTGTGTGTGTGTGTGTGTGTGTGTGTGTGTGTGTGTGTGTGTAGAAAACAGAACCAAAAGAAAAAAAAGGCACAATGACTAAAATAATGTAAATAAAAACAAGAGGAAAAGGCAACAAAACTTGGGTTAATTCAACTATCAGTAGCTACCCTAATCATACATCGACTTTCCTGCTAACTACTGGTAAATTACAAAAGTAAAGTTAATATATAATATCAGTCCCATTTGCTTAAGTATTTATGAAGAATGTATTTGGGGTAGTTGGTGGAATTATTTGGGTATGTTGGTTAAGAAATATCTGCTGTAGGGGCAGGTAGGTGGCGCAGTGAATAGAGTACCGGCCCTGAAGTCAGGAGGACCTGAGTTCAAATCCGGCCTCAGACCAAACACTTGACACTTACTAGCTGTGTGACCCTGGGCAAGTCACTTAACCCCAACTGCCCCCCCAAAAAAAATTTTAAAAAAATCTGCTGTATAAAGATAAAATGCATCCAAATTAATTCATTTTAAAAAAATAAAAAATGACCATTGATAGGTAGGTAGATGGACTTTCTTCATCTACACAGGGAAAGATAAAACTTTATGGGTGAACTTGTGTCTTCACAAGACAAATATTTGTTTTTAAAAAATTAAATCATTTTCCTTTTTTTGATGAGATCTTTTTTCAGAATCTGTTTTTAACAAATCTGAAGGAAAACAGGAGGACTCCAGATGATTTGTATCTGACAATGTTAGTTTCCCCCTTGATTTACCTGTTAATATTTCTTGTATGATGATACAAAAGCTGTAGATGTCTGATTTGATGGTAGCAGCCTTCTGCAAGATTACCTCTGGAGCAGACCAATTGTATAATAAAGCTGGGATGGGAACACGAGTCAGGTCCTTGTGGACATTTCCATCATGACTAGAGCACAGAAGCACAAAAGACACACTTCATGTCTGAAATAATTATCCATCATGACTGCCCTGCCTCCCCCAAGTATTTCTCTCTTTTTCTCTCTCTTCCACTTTTTTTTAGTTTATCTGAAAGTATTAAGAAATAAATATTTCTCCAGTCTACAGTTCTTTCCAGATCTTTCTGCCTGGCTTTAGGCCTAACTCCTTTCTTTTAGAAAATGTGTAACAGAACAAAAGCAAAAATTTCTCCAAATAGATATAAGGTAGATAATTGGCAAAAACTGGATTAAGTAATCAACTTAGAATAAGAAACACTGCTTGTCTGGTTAAGAGAATTGTTTTTCCTGTCCCCAGAAGTGGAGAATTGTAACCCATCTTAAATCAGTGCCTTCATTCCTGCTTCTGAAGGGATTAGGATATGGACCACATGGTCCCTTTGTTTACTCCAGAATACCTGGAGTATTTTGGCAATAGGTAATGAAGAAATTGAGTATTTCTAGAAGATGAAGTGATTTTTGTTCTCAAAGATGAAGAGAATATTAATCCCAAACTGTATTTTATCATATTGTGACCTTTCCCTTGTTCAAGATACCTACAAATGTTACCTCATGTTGTCTTGCATTAGAAAGATGCCCCGGGGTTTGGAGGAACTATGCCAGCTCACTCTCTCTCTCTAAACCAGAAATGCATGGACCTATTTTTTGCATTTGACAGTGATGACTGCCTTCTCCTTCCAGATACTTTTTCCTGTTTGGGTTTTTCTGACAGTATTGTCTCCAAATTCACCTCTTTTCTACTTACCACTCCTCAGTCTCCTTTGTTGGCTCATCATTGCATCTCATACCCCATTTCTGTGGCTACTGCTATCCTGGATCCTTTTCTCTCCTTCCTCTGTATTCTCTCAGTAATCAACAGATTCTTTGGGTTTAACTATCATCTCTCTGAAGATAATTTTTAAATGTACTTATCCAGCCCCTGAGCTTGGATCACCAGTTGCCTATTAGACATTTCAAACTGGATGTCCTGGGAACATCTTAAAGTTAACATGTTTAAGACTGAACTTACCTTTCCCTCTAAACACTCCTCTTTCCCAAAAGGTCCAATTTCAGTACCACCATTCTTCCAGTGTCTCGGGTTTGTCATCTCTGTATTATCCTCAACTCCTCACTCTCCCTCACCCCGCAAATCCAATCAATTACCAAACCTTGCTGTTTCTACTTTTCTAACACCTTGTAGGATGCTGGGAACACAACCTATGACTTCACAGACAATGCTAACTACCTTTTGTAAATGTAAACAGCAAAAGAAGATCCAACTATTTTATGGTAAAATTTGCACATATGACCACAGGTCATCTATAGCATTACAACTTCTTTGTTCTGCTTCTGTATTGTAACTGGCCTGAAGGTAGGTGTGGAGATCCATTTTACTTTGTCCTGCTGCTGCCCAGGACTGGCCACTTGTGAGTAAGGTCCCTCAATTAACCCAAATAAAACATACTAATAACCATGCTGGTGTGGACTGCCCCTCTTTCTTCAGTGTCTCAGTATTCTCTCCAAATGTATGCCACACTCAAACTGGCATAATCAGGGTAAAACAGATCTGCCCCCTTCCACACCTCTTGCATCTAACCTCTTCTTCTCCACTCACACAGCTTATACCTTAGTTCAGGCCTTCATCATCTCTCACCTAGATTATTGAAACAGGTGGCAAATTGGTCTCCATGCCTCAGGTCTCTTAAAGTTCTGGTCTACTTTACCTACTGCTGCCAAAATAGTTTTCCTAAAGTGCAGATTTGAATGTGTCACTTCCCTCTACAGTAGCTTCCTATTGCTTCTGGAATAAAATATAAATTCTAACTTATAGAGCCCTTTATAAAAAAAAAAACAGGTCCCAAACTACCTTTCATTGGACCTTCCTTACTCCACTCTTTAATCCAACCACACTGGACTTCTGTTTCTTAGAAACAGGCAATAAGCATCTATTAAAAGTCTATTAAGCACTAAGAATATAACAAGAGGCAAAAGACAGTCAGTCCCTGTCCTCCAGCTCACAGTCTAACGACCTCAGTTCATTTTTCATTTTCTGTCTTTTCACCTAGTTCCCAAGCTTGGAATTTCTTCCTAAGTATGTTCATTTAACTTTACATTTATGCCTTATGTATTCTTATTTAACTAGTTAAACTCCTGAAGGTAGCATATCTAAAACCTAATAATGACTGCTGCTTCATCAAGTCAACCTTTAAGGTACTCAACGTTTTAAAGAGATAAAAACTTATTATCTTTTCGTTAGCAAAAGACACACCAAAAGAAACCAATTTCACAGAAACGTTTCTCTACTTTTTACCCCACTATAAAAAGAAGAGAGTAGAAAAATTCACTCAGCCCATGTTCTCTTCCTCTCACCCAAGTCAAAGTAAGGAAAAACGATCATCAATGGTAGGTGACAGCTGCTGATCAGCAGTGTCACAAACCAGCTTCACACTCAGAAGATAACACCACAGCTCCTCCTCATGGTTACCTCCATTCTATACTTTCAGCCATAATTCTCTAGTAACATACTATAAAAATGATCCCTAAAAGCACAGTCTTAACCAGCAGCTTCACCACGCGCCTGCCACAGCCGACCCCGCACACTGTTCGCTCACGGCTACCCTCCTGACTCCCACCCAAACCGGTTTCACGCCGCATCTTTCTGAACAAGCACGCAAAGGTGCAAGCCCCACACAGTTCATTCCCCTAGCCAGAAGTGGTCCAGAACCCCTAAAGCCTCACGAGTGATTATTAGCATACTGCCTCCGGACAGCCAATCACATATGGGTGGCTGATCCGAACCCAGCCCCCCCCCCCCCACCCAAGGCTGAGAAAACTATCCTGCTGTGACCGAGACTGGTGCACCGGGGTGGCTTTCCAAAAATAACAAAACACCCTCCCTCTGAAAAAAAATTATATGTATTTTGTTTTTCTTATATTTTTATTGTATTTTTATAAGTATGTATTTCTGATGAGAAAAAAATTTTAGTCTGGATGGAGCCACAAATAGGAATGCTGATGAAGGCCAAGACTGTCTTTCAGTTAGAGATCCAGGAGTGGCGAGGGAGAGGCCCAACCAGGGTGGGAACCAATCAGTCAATCGAGGGGCTGAAACCCGAATGGGACAGAAGTGGAATGACATCTAGGATGATGGAATGATGCAGAGGTGGGCAGTTTGCCCATCCTCGAACCCAAGGCCGGGACAGGGGGCTTCGGGGCTCGCTGCTCAGTCTCTAGTCTGGCCAAAAAGACTGATTTAGGCTTGACTGGGACAAAAGAGGAGCTCCAGGGGGAGCCAATGGCCAACCTCGGGAATTCAGGGCAGCCCTAGGGTCATCTGAGAGCAGCGGCCCTCAGCTTAAGGAGGCCTGGGCAGCACTTCTCAGAGAAGCAGAAGGCAGAGTTTTAGCTGAGACTTGACAGAACAGGCCTGGAAGGCAATCCGAGAATGAAGCTCGGCCAGGGAAAATACCTGGAGACTCCAGTCACTGGAGCCAAGCACAAGGAGCTATGTAAGGGCTAGGAAGTTGCCCAGGTCATGAAAGGCTTTAAAAGCCAAACTGAGGACTTGATATTTTGCCTAGCGACCATAGGGAGAGGCAGGAATTTAATGAATAGTGTGACCCGTCCTTTGGGGAGATTACTCAGACAGCTAGGTGGAAGATGGCCCAGGAGCCAACCAGAAGACTACAGAAGTAATCCAGAAACTGGTGGTGAGGCCCTGTCCTTGCCCCAGGAGTTTCAGAGGAGAGAAGGGCAAGAACCTGAGAGGTGTTGCTGAGAGAAGGAGATGAGGACAGGTAGGTAAGGAGCCTGAGGGAATGGGAGGATGGTGGTGTCCTTAATAATAATGAGGTAAACAGGATAGGGGGGAGGGGAGATAGAAGGAAGGGAAGATTAGGGGAAAGGGTATTCAGAATGCACACCATAATGGGGTAGGGGGAGGGATGAGATGGGGAGAAAATGTGGAACTCATAATGAGGAGGTTAGGAAGAGAGGAGAGAATGTGTTCCATTTTAGATTTGTTGAATTTAAGATGCCTAAGGGTCATCCAGTTTGAGATAGTCAACAGACAACTGGAGATTCAATATTAGAGGTGAACAGAGGTTAGGAATGAAAAAATAAGTAGATCTAAGAGTCACTTACATGGAGATGATCACTGGATTCATGGGTGCTGATAGGAAGAGAGAGAATAGAGAGAAGAGAAGAATGTCCAGGACAGAGTCTAGGATTAGAAGATGAAACCTGGATGAAGATCTATTATCAAAGAAGCCTAAAAAGGAACAGACAGGTAGGAGAACCAGGAGAGAGCAGAGTCACTGTGACCTAGAGAAGAAGGTGATCAACAGTGTCAGAGGCTACTGAAAGGTCAAGGATGAAGACTGAGAAAGTCTTGAGATGCGGTGATTGAGATGAGAGTGACTTTGGAGGGGGTAGTTTTTATGGAATGATGTCGTTGGAAGTCTGACAGTATAGAGCGGAGAAGCATGGAAGGGAGAAAGCAGAGGCACAGATGATAGACAGATGGCTACCTCACAGATTTCAGACAGACACTTGCCACTCCACCACCTGCACAGCACATATACAGATGAAGTATCAAGCTATAAACTCTAAGCTAATGTGGTCTTTTTTTAAAAGTATGTTTCCTTAGTCTGTGATTCTCTATCTCTTGAGGTTCTCAGTCTTGATGATCATGCTTACTGCTTTAATTTATTCACATGCTTTGCTGAAATATAGGAAATACAGGAATACATTTCAGTAGTTAATGGGATAGACTATTTGAAAATGGAAAAATCTGGGACATGGGGTCACTACAGTCTTCATTCTCCTCAGGTTGCACTCCCAACCTCTCTATCATACCTGGACAGACCGCTTCTTCCTTTACTTCACATCTCAGAAGTATCTTTCGCCCCTGCCCTCTCCCTCTGATTGGATGGTTCCTCCCAGAACCTCCAACTAAGGAGGAGAGGAGGGGAGAAGCATTTACTCCTATACTAAGCACTTTACAAACATCTCATTTGATCCTCACAAAGGCCCTGGGATTTAGGTGCTATTACTACCATTATTTTACTGATGAGGAAATGGAGTCAGAGAGAGGCTCTGTGACTTGCCCAGGGTCACACAGCTAGTGAGCGTCTTCCTGAGTCCAGGCCCAGCGCTCTACCCCCAGACAACCATCTCTCCAATTCTCGACAGGTTACATTGGAGACTTCTCCATCATTAACACCCCCATCTACTCCCTTCCTCTCTCTTTTCAGCTTCCTTTTATGTGTGGTCTTCCTCTGTTAGAATGAAAGCTCCTTAAGGACAAGGAACCATCTTTTTACTTGTATCCTCAGCACTTAGCACAGTGCTTGAAATAGTTAAGTACTTAAAAAGTTTGGTTTTGAGTTTTTTGACTGTACAAACCTCAAGGTCAAAAATCAGCTAGCAGACACACAGCTAGTAGAACCAGGCAGCAAAGAAGTATCATATCAGGCAATTCTTGACACTCAAGAGGATGAACTTTTTTCAAGAAATTGGGAATTTAAACCAAATGAATTAGTTAAACAAATGTAATCAACATACCCTCTTTCCAAATGTAGGAAGGCAGTTAATCTTCACCTTTTGCAGGGCTAGTGTTCCTAGAAAATGGCGTGAAAACTAAAAAATGTGAATATTGACACACTGAACCTATGGGAAATAGGAGGTAGGGTTCCCATGACCACCAAAAAGTAATCTTTTGCTAGAGACTGCTGAAAATACACTTTTCTGTATATAATTCTTTATAACAGAACATTAATTCTAACAATATGCACTTTTGCTAACACAGTATCCATGAAATAACCCATAAAATGAAGAGAGGAGGAGAGGCAACATTGGACTCGATTTGGGGCAGGGAGGGATATTTCAGAAGCACCCTGAGGCAAAAAAGGGAAAGGGCCAACCTGCCCTCTCTAATCTCCTTTCAGTTCAATGGCTGAATCACTCCCCAAGAAAAGCACTTGCCTCTAGGGGCAAGTCCCAGGCCTGCCTGGGGTGCCTTCTGCTCAGCTGAGCAGACCAGGGAAGGTGAGGAGGCAGAGGAGACCACCATCTCATTCATCCACAAACTTAGAAGCTTATCCAATTTTTTTTTCTCAATTCCCTCATCATGCACTTGAGAGATTACTTTTAGGAACAGATTCATGAATACTTTTACAAATACTTCCCTTCTTTTCATGGATGTAACAAATAATAGATTTGTTAACACCAAACTCACAGGCTGACCTTGGCTGCAGACATTCCATAAAAGTTTATCTAATACCTTTATTTTCTCATTAAGTTGAATTCCTTTTGGTTTACAGCCTAAGTACTTGCACTATACTTTGGGTGTAAAACTGCAATACAAAACTTGAGTTTTAAAGGCAAACAATGAAAATATGCAACAAATAGACATGGAGTTATTTACAACAGTAGGATCAACAAGATCAGTGAAGCGCCTAGTACAGGAGTGGGGAATCTTCGGCCTCAAGGCCACATGTGGTCCTTAAGTACGGCCCTTTCAATCCAAACTTCACAGAACAATTCCCCTTAATAAAAGGATTTTTTCTGTAAAACACGGACTCAGTCAAAAGGCCGCACCCAAGGACCTAGAGGTCAACATGTGGCCTCAAGACCAAAGGTTCCCCACCCCTGGCCTAGTAGGATACTAGTTACTACATAGATACACAGTTACTAGCACCTCTCATTGTTTTCTCTACTGGGCACAGCCAAGAATGTGTGTGGTTGCCAATTCAAAAGTGAGGTTACTAATGAAATCGTGAGAATTCTTGAAATCACACTCAAATGTTGAGGACTGACTGTACGTAGTATTTATGGCAAAGGGCTTTTTGATGGCTTTGCACTATTAAGTTCTATATAAACACATTGATTACCCTGTTAATAACAGAAAATGGTTCAATGTACAAAATAAATCTTCAAAGAAAAAAAAAGGCATTCTGAAATGACCTGAAAGATGGCCCCTTTCAAAGTAACAACACTGGTTTTCTATACCTTTCTATCATGTATTCCAAGTTGGTCAGTCTTGCTTCACCTGCTGACACGATATGGATGGCATAGGAACTAAGGGAGCGGTGCACAAATCCTCTGGAGTGCAAATATCTTAGTGCATCATTAATTTGGAGGAGTAAATGCACAATCATCTCCATGTGCAGCACAGGAAACTGGGAACGCTGGAAGTAACCAAATAGCATAGTTATTGAAAAAAAAATAAAACTCATCACAATCTGATTATTAAAGAGGGCACATTTGTTTTTGAGAAGCAGGATGGCATAATGGGATCCCCTCAACAGATACTTCTTTTCCTTTTTTTTTTTTTTTGGCAAGGCAATGGGGTGAAGTGACTTGCCCAGGGTCACACAGCTAGTAAGTGTCAACTGTCTGGATTTGAACTCAGGCCCTCCTAACTCCAGTGCCAGTGCTCTATCCACTGTACCACCTAGCTGCCCCAACAGACACTTTTAAGAAAGTATATAAAATTCATCCAAACTTCTCAGTGAATAACAATTTAAAGCAGCAGTTAGCAAATTGTGATTCGAGAAGGAAGCCATCTCATGAAGATGCCTCCATAGTAGAAACAATGAAATCAACAAATGGCCTTAGGAGCAAGTGGAGCGCCCTTCTCCTCAGTTGTTCCCACTAGTCCCCCAGACCTGCTGCAGCCCTCCCTCCTCACACGTTCTCTTTCAGAAGTCAATGAATTAGGGCTAGTCTTCACTTCCAAGTGAAGATAAACTGGGTAAGCTCCCTGGATTAATGTTCTAATTAAACTATCTAATGAGATTACAGGGCATTGACCTTTGACAAGAGTAGGAATTCTTAGACTTTGTGTGTAGAGGATTTTTTAGCAGGCTGATCAAGTCTACAGACCTTTTTTCAGAATCATATTTTAACTTTATCAAATAAAATACATACTATAAAGGAAACAAATCATATTCAAATAAAAATGTAATCATTTTCCAAATTCACAGACCCCAGGTTAAGCATCTCTGGTCTATACACATTTGAAAGGCACCCCCAGAGAAGTAGACACATTGTGGCCTTCTCTCTGGGAGGCTCCAAAGAACCCCTCTGATGCATTCCCAGGAACTGAAACTCAAACTAGTCCGTCTGAGGTTAGGGTTGATGAAAACTCTCTCCTGTATCAATAATACATATCTACATCTATGTCTATATGTGTATCTATACAGTACTACTCTTAACAAAGTTACATTAAGTGATATTATTTTGAAAATGGGCTCCTCTCCCTTAAAATATTGCCAACTGGCATAAAGCATTTAATTCAATAATTCAACAAATATCCTTTGGTCTGACAGGATTTGTGAGGTTTTCTTGTACTCCATTCCCTGAAATTCAGGGGTTTGAGTATCAATGACAAGGGATACAGAACAGAAAGAAAAACCTAAGAGGTAAATTTCTCAGACTCATCTTTCCTCTTTCTTACAAAGAAGATAAAGGACAGGAGGTAGAATCAAGAAATACAAAATGTCACTTCTGTATTTTACTTGGTTAAAAAAAAGCAGAGTAGTTGAGTGTCTAATGTCTCAGGAATTAGTAGAGCTAGGTTTGAGTCCTGGCCCTATCTCTTTTAGTTGTTTTAGGTGCTTGACATCACAAGGCATATATTAAAAGGGGACTTTTACAGGGGCAGCTAGGTGGCGCAGTGAATAGAGTACTAGCCCTGAAGTCAGGAGGACCTGAGTTCAAATCCAGCCTCAGACCAAACACTTGACACTTACTAGCTGCGTGACCCTGGGCAAGTCACTTAACCCCAACTGCCTAAAAGAAAAAAAGAAAAGAAAAAAGAAAAGGGGACTTTTAGAAGAGGAAACACATCCAGAGTAGGATATGACATGCCTAGACACATATAGTTAAAGTGGCAAAGCACCCTCAGTTGGCACCAAGGTGACACTGATAAGAGTACCAGCCCTGGGAAAGTCACTTAACCCCAACTGCCACACCAAAAAAAAAAAATCACCTTCTGAAATTAGAGCTAATGGATGACATTAGCCAGCTGCAAAAATAACCAACTTTAAGAGATGATGTATAAAAAGGTTGTTGATGAGGGAAGGATGTTTGAGGTGAAAGGGTAGAGAGGAAGGAGTCATAGATTCTGGAATCAAGAGGACCTAGATTCAAACCTGGGATCTGTTACCTTTGTGTTCTTGGGTAAGTCACTCAAACTGGGCCTCAGTTTCCTCATCCATAAAACAGGGGGGTGGGTGGGATTAGATGGCCTCTAAGGTTCCTTTTAGCTATAAAATCTATGAAACTGTCTTCAGGTATGCCCCTATAAAAATGTCAGGGTCCCTTCAGCAGCCTAGTTCATTCCAAGCTACCTAGATTTCTCCTTTTTGCCCCCTAGAAGCCTGAAATAACAAATGTAACTAACATAAAATAAGCTTCGATTCACTAAACTGTATTTGAAAGGAGGTAATGCTATTATATTTTATAGGGGTATTATATTAAATGCCCCCTAGTATACGGGCAGCTAGATGGTTCAGTGGATCTTATAGGGCTGGACCGGAGTCAGACAGACCCGAGTTCAAATCTGGCCTGAGATACTGACTAGCTCTGTGACCCTGGGCAAGTCACTTAACCTCTGTTTGCTTTAATCCACTGGAAAAGAAAATGGCAAACCACTCCAGTATTTGCCAGGAAAACTCCACAGGCAGTATTAGAGTGCTATAGTCCAGGGAACTGACACAACTGAGCAACTGAACAAATGCTATTTTAACAGATTTCTCTTACTGGTGGTACAGTGCCCCTATTGGTGAGATCACAGCCCTACCCAACCCTCACGGACTTCATGACCAAAGTGGAACCTCTCTTTGAAGTTGAAATTTTGTAGAACATCAGTGATAATTGCCCAGGGAAGAGGATGGCCTGACAAGCAAGATCATGAATCCTAGGAATGGAGGGCAGAACCAAGATGGCAGAGACAAGGCAGGGACTCTCCTAAGCTCTCTCCACAATCCCTCCAAAGACCTTTAAAATAATGCCCCAAAACAAATTCTGGAGCAGCAAAACCCACAAAAGGGTAAAACAATTTTCCAGCCCAAGACAAGTTAAAGGTTGGCAGACAAAGTCTACTGTACCAGGGAGAGAATGAAGCACAGTCTGGTGCAGGCCTCACCAGTGCTGACTGAGCCCCAGAAAAGCAGGACCAGGCCATGGGAGTGACTGAATCAGCAGGGGCAGTGGCTGCTTCTCGTGTTCTCTCAGCCCACAGATGGTAAGGGGGTCAAGCAACTGATCAGAAGGAGATTACAGGGGTCTCTTCGCTGGCACTGGCAGCAGGAACTCTATTGCTTTGCCCATACCTGGATTTGGGTTGCAGTGCTAGGTGGTAGTCCCAGGACTAGGAGGAGCACTAGCACACCAGAGCTTGTAGCTGCATTAGAGCAGGGACCCTTGTCACAGTTCCAGGGCAGAAAAGAGTGCTTGCGGTCATTCACAGACCGGAGCACAGGCCAGTAGAGTAGTAAATATCTCTCCTTAGATCATACCACCTTGGAAGAACTGAAAACTTAACAGGTCTCTAGAAGTATCTTTAAAAACAGTTGCATAAGGGGCAGCTAGGTGGCGCAGTGGATAGAGCACCAGCCCTGGAGTCAGGAGGACCCAAGTTCAAATCCGGCCTCAGACACATAACACTTTACTAGCTGTGTGACCCTGGGCAAGTCACTTAACCCCATTGCCTAGCCAAAATAATAATAATAATAATAATAATTAAAAAATTTAAAATATAATGAAAACAGTTGCATAAAACCCCTGAAGCTTGTGACAGTGAGCCCTCCACCCTGGAAGCACAGCCCTACTTCAGCAGAGTTAAAAGTCAAGAAATAGGCTGGAAACATGAGCAAACAACAGAAAAAAAGAAGAGTAAAACACACACTCAGAAGAAGACAACAAAGTCAAAACTCCTACATCTAAAGCTTCCAATAAAAATATGAATTGATCTCAGGCCATGAAAGAGCCCAAAAAGGATTTTAAAAATCAAGTTAAGAAAGGGTAGAGAAAAAACTGGGAAGAGAAATGGGAATGATGCAAGAAAACCATGAAAAAAGAGTCAACAGCTTTGTAAAGGAGGCACAAAAAAAAAAATGAAGAAAATAACACCTTAAAAAACAAAATCAGCCAAATTGTGAAAGACATACAAAAACCCAATGAAGAGAAAAACCCCTTAATAAGCCAAATTGGCCAAATGGAAAAAGAGGCACAAAAATTAACTGAAGAAAATAATTCCTTAAAATTAGAATTGGAAGCTAATGACTCTATGAGACGTCAAGAAACAATAAAACAAAGCCAAAAGAATGAAAAAATAGAAGACAATGTGAAATATCTCATTAGAAAAACAACTGACCTAGAAAACATATTCAGGAGGGAGGGAGAAAAATTTGGAACTCAATTTTAAAAATGAATGTTGAAAATAGCTTTTTATATATAATTGGGGAAAAACAAAATACTGATTTTTTAAGGCAATTGGGGTTAAGTGACTTGCCCAGGGTCAATAAGTGTCAAGTGTTTGGTCTGAGGCTGGATTTGAACTCAGGCCATCCTGATTTCAGAGTCAGTGCTCTATCCACTGTGCCACCTAGCTAACCCTTAACGCTAAATTTTGGAAAAAAGAATCCTAGGCATCTCTCTAGAGTGAAGAAGGGCATCTCAAACTATTATCTCTTGAAGGGGACATCCCTTAAACTCACTTGACTATGACCTGCTCATTAGTCAGCCATCTATTATTATTCCTACGTTTGCTACAGGGATTGGCATGTACTGGTAAGCCTAGAAGAGTTCTGTTGTCTTGTAAATTTAAAAACTGGCATTCTGATTTAGCAACCTCCCTCTTGGAAGTTTGGCTACTGTGATTCAATCCCCTAGAGAGCCTGATTCTCTCTGGGTGGGCTGATAAAATCAAGTCCCTGAGCCAGCAGAACTGAGCATCACATTCTGGAATCTAAAGAAGGCCTCACATGAGTGAGGGCAGCTGCTCTCTCTCACTATCACCTTTGATAAATACAAGTCTTAAAAAAAGTTTTAAGACAACAGGAAAAAAACACAAGAGATGGCACAAAGCAGGACATAATTAATTATAAACTAGTGAGTATCTCAGAATTCCTGAAGGATCACAAAGTGTTCTAAATGTACTCCAGATACAGTCAGTCAAGTCTGTTGATAGAGGAGGAGGATCCTATGTACCTACTGGGAATTGAGGGGCCCTGAAAGACCCATCTACCCCAAGACTTGTCCCTACCAATCTATCAAGGTACCTGAAATACCATTCTTAAAATAAAAATTCTTATGGTTTTCTGGGTGGGTGTGTGCACAGTTGCACATTCTAAATGGTATGGGGCACTATGCTATCTGGACTTGTTAATACATAAGCCAGTATACAAAGGGAGAGTAATCATTTTATCTTATAAAATTACTAAATACCTCCCATTTTCCCCTATCCCAGATGAGTCCTCAGGGTATTAGACACAGATAAAATTGGAAGGTCAGAGGGGGTTAAAAGCATAGGGTATTGCCTTGGCACAATGGGCAGCAGGGGGAATCATCTTCATAAACCGCATTAACAGGGATTCATTAAACACCCACCACGACCCAGGGGACTGTGTTAGGCACTATGGAGGGAGTGATAAAGAGATCTGCTACAGCACAGCTGATAGCTACAGAGCAGCTGGGTAGCTACAGAGAAGTAAAAGAGAGGATCCCTGCCTTCAAAGAACTGATAATCAAGTAGGAGAGATAAAACCCACACTCTAGTACATTACCCTACATGTGAATGTATGATAAGGTGAGTATCATAAAAGACCAAAGTTCTATATAATTTTAGACACAGAGGAAGTGCTTCCAGCTGGCCCTATCAAGGCAGGCTTCCCAGATCAGGTGGCATGGTGATGGGCCTTGAAGGATAAAAAGATTTTCAACAGCTGGAGATGTAGGGAGAGAAGAGGTTGGGATTCTAGACAGAGGGAAAAGCATAAGCAAAAGTTTGGGGTGGAGCACAGCCAGCCATCTTTAGGGAGTAAAGTAAAATAGGAATCCAGAAGACAGAGGGCTCTCCTGAACCAGGCCATAGTATATTAGACTCCCTGGGCAAGCAGAGGTGGAAAGAGGCTGAAAGAGGGCCAAGGGACCAAAGAAAAGCTGGGAAGGGGAAGGACAGCAAAGATAACCTTTAAATCTGCTCAGTGATAGCCACAGCCATTGTCAAGAACATATAAAGAAAGTTTCCTTGAGATAAGGGTGGCAACTTTGCTCTAAGGTCAATCAAAAGACACCTTCACCTGGTTGATGGAAGAGTGGGTTCCAGCAGGGCTGGCCACTGAAAAGTTACAGAAGTGAGTGGAGGTTATTTTTTTTTCCTGCAAATGAGATCTTTATCAGAGAAATTTTCAGATTTCCTCCCCTGCTCAGTTAACTCTCTCCCTTCTTTTTTTTAATTAATTTATTCTGATTTATCAATAATCACTTCCATATGCTTTTGAGTTTAAAATTTTTCTCCCCCTTGCTCCCCACCACCCTCCCCAAGACGGCCCACAATCTGATATAGGCTATACATTTACATTCCTATTAAACATATTTTCACATTAGTGATGTTGTAAGTAAAAATCAAAACCAATAGGAGGAACCATCAGAAGGACAAAACAAAACTCAACAGAAGAGAAAAAAAAATAGCAATTCAACTTCCATAGTTCTTTCTTTGGATATCAATAGTATTTTCCATCACAAGGCCTCTGGAGATGTCTTAGATCCTTGTATTGCCGGGAAGGGTGAGTGGAGGTTATTGAGGTATCTTCCTACCTCCTTTCTGAGCACAAGCTTTACTTCCTCCTCCTCTGTGCCCAACACGGCATGCCCTGGCAGCAAGCTGGTCCTGGCCTGTTGTTCCGGGTAGGGCTGGTTTTCTGAAAAGCTGAGCTCCTTTGCTCTTAAAGGACCAGGAAGACAGCTGAGAATTTGAGGTGCTGGTGAAACTGGATCCTTGGGATCCTTCATCTAAGATTTGACAAAGTATGATATCAAATACACTAAGTGATTAGACTGAGGGAGTCTGTACCTGAGTTTCTGTACCTTGTGATAAAGAACTGGACTAACACACAATGAAAATGAAAGGAGATTTCATTGTCTTCCAAACTGTACTCAGCTAAAATGAAGTCTAGATGGGGATGAGGGGTCAGCTTAGCACTATGTTGTGTGTGACAAAGACTGAGATTGAACTGGGTAGATATAGTCCACATCTGCTCTATCTCTTGCTTTCTGCATGCAGAAGCCAGCTGTTACCATGAATAGAGTGCAGCACCTAAAGTCAGGAAGGACTGAGTTCAAATGCACCTGTCACTTAACTGATATCTGCCTCAGTTTCTTTTTCCATAAAATGGGATAATAATATCACCTACCCGTTGTGAGGAGAAAAATGAGACTTTTGCAAAGTGCTTTGTAAACCTTAAAATGCCATATAAATGCTGTTATTACCAATACTATAACACACACCTACCCAAAGGCCTAGTAAATTGTGACTTTCCAAACATGCATAAATGGAAATTAATTTTTTTTTTTGGAAGAGAGTGGGCAAAGGGGAAGAGACTGGAGCTGGGGGGGGGGGGGGGGAGGAAAGAAATCAGAAAACAAAGTTCTTTACCCTTTCATGTAGGATGCTGTACAAGGAGCCAATGTTAATCCGCTCATACACCAGACGAGTTTTCTCTAGATCCTGAGACAAACACACTGCCATCAGCTGCAGCAAATGGGGATGGCGTAATTTACTGTGAAGGAGAAAAAACTTCAAAGATCAGGAGTGTGAAAGGAAGTGCAAAAAGGTCTTTCTCCTTTCTTCTCCTTCTTGGCACTACTTAAACCACACAATCTTAGCCCCTCTCCTGCCCTGAGAAGAAGCCCAGCCCTGCCTGCCATCTCAGCCTGCTCTGCTGCCTTTACAGATACCAGTGTAGATCTAGATTGACCCTGGGTGAGAGATTTTACTTCTGCTTCCTCTTCTGTGAGAGGGTGAGAGGAGCAGGACCAAGAGTCTTTCCTATTCTGATCCAGCAACAGATTATGTCTGGAGAAACCTGTGCAACTCTTACTGACTATGCCCTAAGGATATACAAAACAATTCAGGGGAGGACTATGAAGCCTCTAAAATTTTTTCAAATAATTTTCATATACATTAACACAATGAATTCTCACAATAAACCCATGAGGTAATAATAATAATAGTCTTCATCCTCTCTAAGCTGCACTCCTGATTCTTTAAAACTTTCTCTATATGTCCCAGACACCTCTTCACCCCTCACTTCTCACACAGAAGTACCCTCCACCCCTTTGGCCTTTCCTTCTGATTAGCTGTTTCTTCTTTGAATCTCCATTTTAAGGCGAGGCCCAGGCCAGCATGTCTTCACTTCTCTCCAAATTGCATTTCTGACTCTTTGATATACTCAGCCTGATTCCCAGTGCCTTAATCTCCCTGTCCCGGTCAAAAAACAAACCAAAATAAAACCCACCCCTTCTTTTCTGCTCTTTTATGTGTTGTCTTCTCTTTCAGAACGTAAGCTCTTTGTGGGCAAGAACTATCTTTCTTTCTGCCTGTACTTGTATTCTCAGTGTTTAGCAAGATGCCTGGCACTTAGTAAGCACTCAATTAATGCTTGTTGACTTGATTTGACTATGAACCTTATAAAGTTGGTTTTGTTTAATCCCACTTACAGGTAAAGAGACTAAAATTCAGAGAGGTGACTTATCCACAGTCACACAGAAAGTAGGGGGCAAAGCTGGGATTCAAATCAGACATGTCGACTTCTAATCCAGTGTCCTTTCACTACATTACAATGATGAGGAAGACCAGGTGACTAGTCCCCTCAGGCTAGTGACTAGAGAACCTGAACTCAAAACCACATCTCCTTAGCACAAGGTCAGGTGCTTTCTCCATGACCACATCTCTCTTCTACATCACCAAGACAGAAATGCCCCTTTGCATCAGTACCAATTCTCATTTCCTGGGGTTTCATATGCTCTCCTGGGCCTCCTTCTAAGACCCACTCGGAGTTTCTGAACAGACAGACTCTCCTTCCCAGAGAAGACAACTCTGAGCTGCTGAGACACACACATGTCATGTAAATGAGGGAATCGACATTCTGAGAGAATCCAGTCCCCCTCTTCCTGAGTTCAGTTATGGAAAGGTACTTCCCCAAGGCCTGATCAGCCCTGGTCAAACTAAGAGCTGAATTCCTGGCCTGGCAAGAGCTGGGAGATCCATAGAAGCACCCTGAGGGGGATCAGTGTAGCATCAGGGACATCATGGAAACTTTAGAAGCATAAAGAACCTGGATGCACAGGGTTCACAAGCACCAAGCACTAGAGCTGGAAGAGATCTCAGAGGCCTTCTATTCTAGGATAAGTCCTTTACAGATAAGGAAACTGAGGCCCATAACAGTCAAGTAACTACCACCAAGGACACACAGATAGTAAGAGTCAGAGGTAGAATTTTACCCTAGACCTTCTGACTTCATAGTCAGGGCTCTTTCCATTTCACCACACTGTCCCCTCAAAGTCAGAAAAATAACATGCCTATAAACTATGGTGTTGAATAACTGATCTCATGTTAGAAGACCTCTTCTAACTTTCTAATTTGCCATATATCCTTGACCAGAGCCACCCCTAAGGCACAGGCCAAGCAGGGACACCATACTTGCTAACCAGCTGCTGGTACCTGGGCAATAATTACTCAGGGAGGTAGATGGGAAAGAAGGAAGTTCTGCCAGCTGGGATTAAAAGAGATCTCAGGCTTTAAATTCTCCCACCCCTATGCACTAAGGCAAAGCAGGTGGGACTGCCCTTTCCTGTTTTTTAATTCAAAATTAAATTTACTCCTGTCTCAAATTCTGTATTTCTATCCCCACCCCCACTTTCAATGTTTTTCAAAATTAAAGTTATTTTCTGCTTCAGCGATACCTAATTTCACCTGAATACAATAGTTTATGCCCAATTTGCTCCAGGTCTACTTCTCACTAGAGATAGTCTTGAGCCCTGCATCCCTAACCCCTTGGAAGGAACAAGATTATAGATCTAGAGATAGAAAGGAAGTTACTTAGTCCAACCATCCTTGTTTTACAGATGAGAAAATTGAGACCCAGGGGTAAACAATCTTAGCAGGAGCTGATATTGACACAGCCCTTAATTTAAAGTGTACATTGTGCGTTGTATGCACATGATGTTGTCTGACCCTCAGCACAGTCTTCTGAGGTAGAAAGTTTGGGTATTACTATCTTCATTTTAGATTGTAGGTCAGAGGACCTGAGTTCAAATCTTGGCCCTGTCATTTTTGTGACCCTGGACAAGTAACTTCACCCTGGGCCTCTTGGTTTCCTCCTCTGTAAAATGAGGGGGTTGGACTAGATGACTTTTAAGGGATTTAAACAGGCAGCTAGGTGGCACAATAGATAAAACCCTGGGTTTAGAATCAGGAAGACTCATCTTCCTGAGTTCAAATCTGGCCTCAGATACTAACAGTGTGACCTCAGGCAAGTCACTTCATCCTGTTTACCTCAGTTTCCTCATCTGTAAAATGAGCTGGAGAAAGAAATGGCAAGGAACTCCAGTATCTTTGCCAAGAAAACCCCAAAATGGTCAAAAAGAATCTGACATGACTGAAATGACCCAACAACAACAACCCCACTCTAACTCCATAATCCTAAATGGATTATTATATGGTCACACAGCCAACATCTAATCCAATTTTAGCACCTCCCCACTGAGCAATGTGGCCTCCTGAGGCTTGCTTAGCTATATACTCTGACTTGGACACCCTAGTGGTATCTCAAGTCATGTCACACACTCACACCCTCATATTTCTCCCTTACCTACTATGCTCCTGTTCTGCAATCAGCAAGTCAGCAAACCGAAGCTTACTGCAGTTTTGGTGAGTTGCAAAATTAAGTTCCTTCACGGTGACTCTACTGCCATTCCACACCAGACTAAACAAGGAGGGAGAAAGCATTTTCAGTCAACTTCTCACAGAGCAGGCTGTTTCAGCTGAAATCCTGTTTCCTGACAGACGTGTCTATTACCTCACTTGACACCTAGTGTGGTTCAATAGGTGAACAATGATGATAACTAGTCACATCTATCACGTCATTCTTCTTTACTGAATATTTGTATTAGCACCAACAAAGGAAAGGAAAGTATAACTCATTCTATCCTTAAAAGTCAGGTCATCTTTGTCACCAATCAGCAAGCACAAATGTTGTCCTGGGTGCTGAGGTAGATATAAGCTTCTTCAAGAAGCTGGTGGAAAAAAGTTCACAGCCAGAATCTAGTAACAACAGGCAGAGGAAAGTCTCCAGGCTAAAAGGTCTAGAGCAGCCTCTACACACATCAGGAGTCTGGAGAAGGGAGAGCCAAGTAGGCTATCAGGGCACAGGACTTCCTGAAAGACGCTGAATGTGGGCTAAATCTAAGAGGGTGGACAGGATCTGAACAGGAGATGGGGGAAGATCTACCCCCTTACAAGAGTTCAGGCAATCAACAGATGCTTATCAAAGGTATTCTGGATTCAAGGGGCAGCCCCAACTGTGCCATGAGCATGCTTTTCAGGCACCTGTTCTATTTCTACTCTGACTTACCTACAAAAACATAAGCTATACTGAGCAAAGCCTTGATTGAATGAAAATCAGTTTGCTGAGACACCTACTTAGACACTGCTGAGACACTTCTCAATAACAGAGAATACATATTAGGAGTATAAGGGTATAAGGCTGCATGGGGAGTACAGGACCAGGTTATAAAGGTTGATGAAATCCAGGCGGAGGAGTTTTCTGGATAAATGCTATCAATGTTTCTCCCAAGTCAAAGGAAGATGAGGGTTCTTTTAAAATAAATGGAAATAAAAGCCACTATTTGTTGTTCCTATGAAAATGGGGCCATTTGGTGGGGTAAAGAGCTGGCCCAAATGGTACTTCTATTTTATGTTTGATGATAGTGGCAAAAGGAAGATGGTCATGGATTTTTTAGTCAGGCCAGTTCTCTAGCTACAAATGAAAATACCTGAGATCTTTCTTAGAGACAATATCTTGACCTATTTTGCCACTACAATTTGTACTGGATTTAATGGGTGATAGGAAAAGATAATGATCTTTTCATTAACAAGAGAAGCAGTACTTAGTCTACACAGACCACAATAATGGTTTCATAAGGAATAAGGTTTCTTATGGTTGGATAGAAACATCCAAAGTTTAAGAAAGACACATGCAAACAAATGATCTAAGATAACTCAATCTTCCTGTGGTTCAGGAAGCAAATGTTCAGAGTGAACCCTAGGCACATTTTGACTTACTTTGTCATGACCATGTAGGGACCACTACAGAAAGAGAAGGTTGGTTCATCATCTGCTTGAATCACTTCCTTTTCTCCGACAACTGGGAGAGATCCCAAATAAGCCAGCTGTGTTCCTCCTGTGAGATAAAACTGACGCCAAAACTTTCCCTCATAATGTGAAGAGGAAAAGAAAAAAGACTAAACAACGTAAGAGTTAAAAATTTACATAGTTTAAGGAATAGTACAATAAAAATACAGGGTCAGATTTAGAAAAGGAAAGGACCTTCAAGGTCATCTTACAGTTGAGGAAACTGGGAACCAGACAGAGATGTGACTACTCAAGGTCTCACAGCCAGTAAACAACTTAAATCGAAATTTGGACCCAGCTCCCCAACTTTAAATTCAGCCCTCTTTCCACTATACAATGCTGCCTCATTATACTTCCTCTATTTCTTTTTGTTTGTTTTTATCAATGTCTTGTTTCTTACATCATAATAGTTATCCCAAATGTCCCTCCCTTTGTCCTTCCCAGAGAGCAAACCCATAGAACAAAAAGTATTGTTAAAGCAGAAAAAAAGTCAGCCCAACTTGTCCACATACTGAAAAAGTCTGAAAACTTGTGTAATGTGCAGGACCAACCACCTGCACAAAAGGGTACGTCATTATACGCTCTCTATTTTAACATTTCCTAATGGTGTTTTTTGAAGGGCATACTCTGGGGTCCAAAATATCTTCTCTCATATCACCAATGATTCTCTTCTGTAAGTCTGGATTTAGAAAGAACTCTAAAATTCATCACTGAACAATTCAGTGCCTATTATAAACAAGGTACTGTGTGAAGAGTTAGGGATAAAAAGACAAAAATGAAACGTCCCTACCCTCAAGGGATTTATGCATCCTGGGCCCAAGTAAGCAAACACAAAGTAGTATAAAGTTATTTCATGGGGAAGGGGGAGTGGTCAGGATATGTTCTGCTTTGAAGGGAGCTGAGGATCCTGTGAGATGGAGGGAAAGAGGAAGTCCATTCTAGACACAGAGGACCACTTGGGCAAGGCAAGAAACAGGAGATGGAATGGAACATATGAGAAATAGTCAGCATGTGAATTTCTTTTTTTTTTTAATTTATTTATTTAATTTTAGTTTTCAACATTCACTTCCATAAGATTTTGAGTGCTAAATTTTCTCTCCATCTCTTCCCTCCCTCCACCCCAGGACGGCGCACTATTTGATATAGGCTCTACATATACAGTCATGTTGTAAAGAAGAATTAGAACCAATGGGTGAAACCACAAGAAAGAAGAAACAAACAAAAAAAGAAAAAAAAAAGACAGAGCAAATAATATGCTTCAATCTGCATTCAGACTCCATAGATCTTTCTCTGGACGTGGACACCATTTTCCATCACGAATCCTAAGCATGTGAATTTCAATGGAATGGCAAGGACAAGAAAGGCAATAATTTGAGCTAAAACTGAAAACACGGGAGGCGCGGGAAGGCAGAATGAGGAAGGCTTTCTATTCCAGGCTAAGGATTTTGCATTTTATGCTACAGTCAAGAAGTGCCAACATGTTGTGGAAAGCTCCAAACAGATGAAGACTGAGAAAATGCCACCAAATTTGGCAGTGAAAGAGTCGTCGGATACTTTGAAGAGGGAAGTCATGACAGCGGGAGTGTAAACCAAATTTCAGGCAATTTAGGAGACTGAGAGGTGAGGAAATAGGGCAGCAGGGGTGATTACGTTTTCTAGCTTAGTAGTAAAGGAGAACAAAAATATAAGACAGAAACTCAAAGGGTAGCAGACAGAGTTAAGGGAAAGTTTTTAAGATTGAGAATGTTGAGAACATAAACAGGGAGGAAGGGGATAAAGATGAAAGACAGAGTTTGAAGATGAGAGACACAGACAAAGACAGAGACAGAGAGAAAGAGAGAGAGAAAGAGAGAGAGAGAGAGAGAGAGAGAGAGAGAGAGAGAGAGAGAGATTAGCTTATGAAAGGAGAAGGGTCACCTCAGCCTATCAAAAAAGATAGAAGAGACAAAGAAAGGTTTTCAGGTATGGAGAGATTAATGAGGACATCTATAGTGGAGACATGGTCATTTTCTAAAGTCAGTGGGTGAACAGGTTTGGGAGTGGAACTGGGAGCTTGAAGAGTTAGGAGAAGATTTAATTTTAAAAGCTGCTGTCTCCTTGGATAGCCTTTTCTAGCCTCCTGGAAACTGTATGCTGGTCTGTTTCATAGATATAAGACACTTAGATAGACATATGAATCCAACCTCCACAAATGTGCTAAAATAATTTTCCTCAAGTATAGAACTGGACAGGGAAAGAATGGAAGCAGGAAGTCCAAGATTCCATCAATCAATACAAAATTAAACCTTTTTGTGTTTGTTAAATGATAAAACAATATATGTAGAAGAAGATCAGAGAGTAAAGGGACACACAAACCTACAGTCTAAATGACCAGGAAAATATAAAGCCCTCCATGAGAATGAAAGGAAAGAACAGAAGCCAGTGATTTTTGCCATCCACTGTCAGAAGTTGCTTGATTGTGTTTGATTCTTGTGCTCTCACTGATAACTGAAGGACTGATTTATAAAATGCCCAAATAAATCACATACTGGAATCATTCAGGGGACTGCCTGTGGAATTTCTACTATCCAAACTAAGGACTTTCTTTTCTTGAAGTTAAAAACAAGAAGAAAATCCCCACTTGATATGTTGGGAGGTAGATATGGCAGAAAGAGAAAGGAAAAACGAGCTGTGGGAAGGAACCAGCTTCAATTCAATTCAATTCAATTCAACAAGCTTTATTTTTTAAGCACTTACACTGATCAGCAGTTTGTCATTTTTAACACCTTACCTTCCCAAAACCAAAGCTGTAGATGTTTTTGGAAGAAACAATTCCAGGTTTGAGTAGGCGATTAGGGGAGCTGTCAGGGGTTCTAAAAATGTTGAAAAAAATAAGGATTAGCTATCTGCATCCCGAGAAATGCTCCACGACTAAGTTTTCTGGCAGTCCAATTCTAATACTGCTTCTCATACACACCACTGACTTGGCACACAAAATGTCCCACCCATTCATTTGATGGGACCAGGATAGGGTTGAGGGAGCATCTTGCTCCCTGCTACCACTTCCAGGACATTCTTCTACCAGACAGGTGCTTAAGCTGGGGGTTACAGATTTAACAGGGTTAGTGAATTTGGATGGGAAAAATTACATCTTTATTTTCACTGACTTATTATTTCTTTTGTAATCCTATGTATTTTACCCATTTAAGAACATTATTCTAAGTTCCATATACTTCAACAGACTGCCAAAGCGGGTTCGGACACAGAAAAAGTTAAGGATCTCTACTCCACTGCCATTGGATAAAAACTTTTTCTTCAGGGGCAGCTAGGTGGGCAGTGAATAGAGCTCTGGCCTTAAGAGTCAGGAGGACCGGAGTTCAAATCCAGCCTCAGACACTTAACACGTACTAGCTGCGTGACCCTGGGCAAGTCACTTAACCCTGATCACCTCACCAAAAAGCAAAAAAACAAAACAAAACCAAAACAAAACAAAACAAAACAAAACCGTTTTTCTTCTTCTAGGTCCATGCAATCTATTTATGTCACTTTTCAGAAAGACTTCACTGCTGTCATCTACCAAACTCCAGGTCACTTTCCCAGCTTTCTCAATGACTTTATCGTCTGGCCCCTAGTCTACCTCTCCAAACTATACTTTGTCATCATGCTCAGGCATTTTAATATTCATGCTCACAAGCCCTGCCAGATCAGGACTACATAATTCTTCATTTTCCTCAACTCCAAGATCTCTCCTCTCTGTCATTCTTCAGCCACAAACCATGGGGACACCCTTGACCTTCATCTCCCAGAAGTGCCCCACCTCAAATACCCTGAATGTTGAAATTCCACAATTTCCTAAACTTCTCCCCTCCCACTTCTCCTCTGACACTGAAGGTTTCACTCGTCACCATAGCCATGCTTGACACCACAGTTTTTCACTTTAATAATTCACTGCCATAAAAATTCTTGCCATTCCTCAACTGCTTTTTTGCTGTTACTAACCTCAATAAACCTCATCATCTAGTTTTGTTGTTATTTCTGCTTCCAGGCTGAGAATAACAAAAGGAAGTCACATAATCAAGATGATTTTACCCTCTATAAATTTATGATGACAGGCAATGAGATAGAGTGAAGAAAAGACTCACCTTCATCACTTAGCTGCTCACCGTCCCAAGAAACTCTCTAAGCCTACAAATTATAGACAACCTGCTGATTTGTATTGGTGCAGGGTATTTCCACTTTGCAAGTTATTTACATTGTTGAAATAACAGGTCTGGGAAAATCCCCACAAATTTATGATGGGTAACCTCATCTGGGCCTTCACTGTTGTCAGGCAATTCTTTCATTCCACCCTTACTGACTCTCTATCTCATTTCCTACAGCAATGATGGCAAACCTTTTTCTTTCTCAAACCTCAAACAGTATCCTCTATTTTGACAGCAGATGACTTAGCTTCCCACCTCACTAACAAGAGGAGTTTCCTCATATCCACCCCTCAAACTTCTCAGTATCATCATTCAGTCTTTCTTCCTTTTCTTATGCCTCAGAGGAAGGGATATCCCTGGGTACAAAGGAGGCAGGCCAATAGGACCCTAGTTTTAATGAACATGTACATCTTTCTCTGTTGGTTCTCTATGACAATTTTAACCCTTCTGTGTGTGCTCTTGACTTGCTCCCTCCAGTACCCCTGCTATCACCCCCTCTCCCTTTCTCTCAGAGCTCTTCTCTCTCTGCCTGACGAGCCTGTCAGTTCCCTCTTCTCAAACTCAAAAAAGGTTTCACTTCATCCTTTTACTCACTCCACTTCCTACTCTATTCCTCAACACCCTTTCACCATTAAACTTCTTGAAAATTTGATCTATGACTGATGTCTCCATTTCTTTCTTTCTTTTTTTTTTTTTGGTTAGGCAACGGGGTTAAGTGGCTTGCCCAGGGTCACACAGCTAGTTAAGTGTCAAGGGTCTGAGGCCCGATTTGAACTCAGGTCCTCCTGACTCCAGGGCTGGTGCTCTATCCACTGCACCACCTTGATGCCCCAGATGCCATTTCTGTACCTTCTACTCTTACCCAAGTCTTTGCAACTCTGGATTCTGTTCTGTGCTACTCAAATGGCTTTCTCCAAAGTCATCAATGACCACCAGATCCAAGGACCTTTTCAGTTTTCATCCTCTTTGGAGCTTTTGACAGTTGACTATATCCTCTTGAATATTCCGTTTTCCTTTACCTTCCCCAAATAACAAATACTCTGCTGGTTCTACCTCTATAACCCTTCCATCTTTGTCTCTCTTCAATGGATTCATGTCATCATCCCAAGACTTTGAGTTGAGTGCTGTTGTAATTGGCCCTCTACTCTTTTCTGTCTGCATTTTCTCCCTAGAGAGTCACATCCTTTCCCATAGCTTCAACTACCCCACTTTGTAAATGGTTTCCAAATCTATAGCTCCAGTTTTGACCACACTTCTAAAATCCACAATCACATTTCCAAGTTCCTATAGGATACTTCCACTTGAATTTCCTACTGGCACCTCAAACTCAGTATGTCCATAATAAAGCTTATTGTCTCCGTCAGAGAATTTGCTCCTTCTTTTGACTTCAATACTTCTATCGTAGGCACCATAATTCACCTCATCTCCCATGTTAAAAATTAATGATATCTTTGACTCACCTTTCCTTTACTTCTCACCTCCAGTTATAAATCTTGTTAATTCCTCCTATGCAGCTTTTCTTATATCTTTCACCTCTTCTCTATTCCCACTGCCAAAATCTTAGAACAGGCCCTCAATGTCACTTGCCTACATTATTGCAAAAATCTCCTATCAAGGCTTCTTTCCTCCAACATCTCCCGTCTCCAGTCCAGCTTTCACAGAGCTGCACACTTATCTTTCTCATGCTAAGAACTGGTTATAGGAAGGACAGCAGAGACTTGTGATGAAGTAAAGGGACTGGTGTTTGGACTAGGCTGTAGCCATGCCATTCTCTGATATTCTGAACTGGCTGGGCCTCAATGTTGACAAATGGATGACAATTATGACTGCTGAATAACCTTACAAAATATCAGCCCAATGCCATGCTTTTGAGAAGGAATCTATTCAATGTGCCCATGGAATTGGTATGACCTGAGCCAAGAAAGAATGCAACTTGGAATATGAGAATTTCATCAAATATTTGCATAGGCGGAAAACAATAAAACGCTTGGGAGCAGTCACGAAGCAGAAGGAGAAGCTAATGAGAGAAGGGAAGTATACTCCCCAACCTTACCACTCAGGCAAGGAGGAACTGAGTCCTAGACCAGCCAGTGGTGACAATGAGTGGCTTTGCTCTTTATGATGGGATGAAAGTATACTCCATTGTCCCCTGGAAATGTATATTTCTTAAAATAGACATCTCCTTCCAAAGGTTAAAAATCAGAGTATAGAAGCCATCCTGCTGTCCCCTGCCCCCAGTTCTCTCTGTACTTTGCCATTAGGACAACTACACCAGGCAAGTTGGTAGCAGTGGTTCACCCTCCAATATATGATCTGTGATTCTGCCTGTATCTGAAAATAGGCATTTTGGAAAGTAAACATTTACCAATGTAAAAAAAAAAAAAAAAAAGAACTAGTTATAATACTCCTCTGCTCAAAACCCTTCCCTACCGAGTAAAACTCAAACTTTACTTAGTCTGGTAAGCAGATTCCTCCTTCCATGGGCTGGCCCGGCACAACTCTCTCTATTTTTATATTACTCCCTCCATGAATTCTAATTACTTGTCATCCTTTCACAGAGCCCTCTTCCCCACTTCATGCCCTTGTCCACTGTACCTGGAAGGTTTCTCCCCCTCTCTCCTGACCTGCCCTTTCTAGCCCAAATCAGATGCTGCCAGCTCCACTGAGTCTTTCTTGAAGTCCCTCAGCTGGTAATGATCTCTTCCCCCTCAGATCTCAGATAGCACTTTGCTTTACACATCTCTAATATACTTTTTTTTTAGGTCACAGTTATTTTTCTATGGCGCACACTCTTCCTCCTAGACTGTATGCTTTGTAAGGTCAAGAGTTATCTTATGTAGCTAAGCTTGGCATCTCTTCCAGGACTTGGTACAGCAGCTGCTTAAGAGATGTCTGCTGAACTGAATTATCAAATTGTTCAAGCTCACACAGGAGGTCTGTGAAAGCTGGGGCTTTCACAAAATCCCCTAATTCCAATTCGTGTTAGTTTTCCAATATACGATGATATATTTCTTATGTCTTGTCTCTCCAACTAGACTGTAAATTCTCTTGAGGAAAGAGACTAAGACTTATATTCCTTTATATTATTAGTGCCCAGTTCAGTGCCTTGCATACTGTAGACACTAAAACAAATCTGTTGAATGACATTTGATGAATAATAAATGAGAAGATTTGTAAAGGGGAAAAGGGGCTGTTTTTGGAAAGCACATACTTCTAGATGGCAGTATCCATGCAAATAGAAAAGTTTTACTTTTGCACTTCCCTCATGGATCAGGAAGAAGTAATGCTTTTGTCCACTTTCTGTTTCAGGGTGAATGGCAAAGAAAACACAAATGGAAAACATAAATGATGTATTATTGCTAGAAGGGCAGAGCACACAACACAGTGCTGCTCTTTCTAATATTCACATTTCGTTGCATGAATGTTTTGTGAAGTCTATGTACTGTCTCCTCAGGGCCACTTTAAGTTGCCACATTGTTCACAGCTCAGTCTGGTAGGGTTGGCTGGTGACTACCATGGCCCTAGAGCTATTGAGAAAGTTCTCACGCAAGCCTTTAAAGCAAAACAAAATTTCCTGTTCTGCATCAATATTCACAGACTTCCCTGAAAATAAAACCCAAGCAGCTGAATTGGGTTTCTAATGACAGTAACACTGCATTTATTTCAAGCTCAGTTATCTCATAACCTCAGCTATCAAGAACACAGCCAGGAACCAAGAAATAATAGAAGCAATAATAATATTTGATCACATTTTAACCTCATGGAAAGACTTAAATCAAGCTGTGAACAAAGGAAAAGCATTCATTCAGTCATTCATTCAGTCAGTCAGTCAGTCACTCAAGAAAGACTTATCAAGTAACTGCACTGATTGAATTACTGTGACCTCAAGTATTCATTTATTTTTTACTGGATCTTTTTTGGGCTCTAGATCTTTAACTTCATTGTTGTAGGGAATTCCTGGTGAGGAAACTCCCTCTTCCAAAGCCAGTTGTTAGCTTCCCTGTAACTTTTAGTCTCAACTTCTAGTTGCCTGGGCCCTAAGAGGTTCAGGAATTTGCCTAGGTAAGTGTCAGAGGAAAGATTTAACCCTGGTTCCTTCTTCCAAGGGTAACTCTGTAAGTGCCTTTTCACTAGATCATATAAGAAACAATCTCCCTCCTTCTTACCTCCCCACCCACCCCAAAAAAAGCACAAACAGGCAGAAATCTTAGAACAGAACTAGTTTACATGGAATGTGAAGGAAGAGGGTACCCCTGCCTCATTGGCCAAGATTGGTAATTTGGCAGGGTTGCAGCTATTACAACCAAATGGTTGTCACCTCCCTGTCTGACCATTATGGTTTAATGACTAGATGGTTGGCCATTTATGTCCCTGGTCGGGCTTCCTAGCTAGAAGGGCACTTACCCATGTATTAGGTTGCCAAATTTAGATGGGCTACAGATGAGTCTCTGTGGAGAGTCAATTCTCTTCAATAGATCATAAGAAAATCCTTGAATTATCGCCTGCATATGAGAGGCACAGCGGTGCATGAACTCCAACATCTGCAATAAATGATGCATAAAACTTTCAACATCAAACACCCATACATCTGGCCAATAGAATACTTGAGGAAGGGGAAGGGGGCGAGGGGAGAGGGAGACAACACTCCAAATCTAAAACCTGCCTCCGTATCTTTGTACAGGGGGCCTCTCGTGTAGAAGGCTCTTCTTCCTCATCATCAACTTGTAGAAGCCTCCTTCACCCCCTTCAAATACAGCTCAGGGGCCATATTCTCATGAGCCGTTTCCTGGGGATCCCCCTGTACTTGGGGCTTTCTCCCTCCAGAAGTTACTCTGTATTGCTTTGAATACATTTTGCATTTGCTTATCCATGCACATACTGTATCCCTCCCATTAGGATATAAGCTTCCTGAGGGCAGGGACCATTTTGGTTTTTGTCTTTGTATCCCTAGAACCTTGCAGAAATCCCAGACCCAAGGAGAGCCTATAATTCTGTCTTTCTCTACCAACACTGTACCAATAGTAACGGCTCAGTCCAACAGCATCTACTGTTGCTCAGATCCAAACTCAGTTCAGAAACTTGCAGAACTCAGGTTAGGGGGCAGCAATCATACTTTGCCCTAGATCAGAACACTAAGGAAGAAAAGCTTGCAAAATCCCCAGCCTATACCTGATATCCTGAAATAACACAAAACACTTAATCCTCCAAGAAAACAGCAGCAGGACCAGCCCAGACCTTCCTTCCAGGAGTACAACATAGACCAGCCATAACATCAAATATGAAATCAGGAAGCACACTGGAAGAATGAGTAAACCAAAAAAGAACCCCACCATAAAAGGCTATTATGGTGGCAGGGAAGCTCAAGATACAAACAGAGAAGAGTGACTCCAATATATTTATAAGCAAAGTTTCAAAGAAAAACATATCTTAGTTACAAACTCAACTAGAGTTCCTGAAAGATTTCATGAAGTAAGAATTTAAGACTTAAAAATGTTTTTGTAAGTGAAATGAGAGAGCTTAAGGAAAAAATTAGAAAAGAAATGAGAGCTATTGAAGAAAGAATTGAAAAGGAAATTAATAACTTAACACAAGAGATACAAAACCTTGCCCAAACAACAAACTCCTAAAAAATTAGAAAAGACCAAAGAAAAGCCAATGACTTTACGAGGCAAAAAGAAATGTTAAAAGACAGAAAAAAATGGAAGAAAATATATGGTATCTCATAGTTAAAAACAAGTGAATTGTAAAACATAACAAGGAGAAAAAATTTAAGAATTGTTCAACTACCAAGTCCCCCTCCCGCCCACACACACACACACGCACGCACACACGAGACTAGACATCATATTACAAGAAATCTTAAAAGAAAACTGCCCATATCTCTTAGAACTAGGGGGCAAAATGGAAAGAATCTATCAGTCATCTCCTAAAAGAAACCCTAAAATGAAAGTTCCCAGGAACATCACAGACAAAATCAGTAGCTAGTAAGTGTTAAGTCTCTGAGGTCACATTTGAGCTCAGGTCCTCCTGATGACAGGGCCAGTACTATATCCACTGTGCCACCTAGCTGCCCCCCTAAGGATTTCTGATGATCAGAACAGAGCTTCAGAAAAACTCTGAAATTAAAATTAGAAGTTAGAAGTTAAGAAAAACATAAAAATAGCTACATGAACATAAATGACTAAACAAGGATAAACTGCTTATATTCAAATATGAAGATTTGTCTCTAATACATTTGTTCCCTCTGAACCCTATCATTATCAGGTGTCTTAGAAAGAGTCAAATTAGGCAAGGCCTAGGAGTGGGTACATCTTTCCCTGCCCCAGTTCCAAATTCTCTCTCTTCCCTCCACCACCCATTGAGAAGGTAAGAAAAACAAAGCCCATTACAAATAAGTACAGTCATGCAAAACAAACATTAGCCATAGAAAGAAGGAAAGAAGGAAGGAAAAGAGGAGGCAAGGGAAGAAGGAAGAAAGGAAAGAAGGAGGAAGGGAAGAAAGGAGAAGAAAGGATGGAAGGAAGGAAGGAGGGAAGGATGAAAAAAAGAAAAGAAAAAACATGATCAAAGTTACTAAGTCTTTCAGAGTTGATTATCTTTATAATATTGTTGTTACTGAGTAACCTATTCTGGTTCTGCTCATTTCACTTTGCATCTGTTTGTACAAGTGTTTCCAGGTTTTTCTGAAACCATCCCCTTCAACATTTCTAGCATATTGCTATACCATAACTTGTTCAGCCATTCACCAATTGATGGCTATCTCCTTAGTTCCCAATTCTTTGTTACAAAAAGAGCTGCTATAAATATTTTTGTATATAAGAGCCCTTTTCCCTCTTTCTTGGGTTCTGTTATGTTTTGATGATTTTAAGAGAAGAATGGAAAGAGAGGAGAAGAGGAATACACTGGGATGTGGGGTGAGGGAAAGAAAGATTAGGGAAAATAATTTCATATAATCAAGGTGGAGCAAGTAGACATCTATACAAACAAGGAGAGGGGAACGGGGTGGGGGGACCTGACACTGAAACTCACTTATCTGACCTGGTTAAAGGTGGGAAGAATACAAACACAGACACAGACACACACACACACACACACACACACACACACACACACACACAAGGTATAGACATACATTTCACTTAACAGGTAAATAGGAGGGAAAGGGAAAAGGTGGGAAAGGGAATTATAGTGAGGATAGGTTAAAAGAGGGATTAGTCCTAAGCAAAACAAACTAACAAGGGATGTACAGAAGTATTTACAGCTGTTTTCAAGGTGGCAAAGAAAGGTTATCTGAAGGGATGCCCATAAATTTATGAATGGATGAACAAGTATAGTGACGTGATGGAACTCTTTAACATCTTAAGAAGTAAAGGGCATGGTTTCAGAGAAACCTGGGAAAACTTGTATGTGATGAGTGAAGGAACAGAATTAGGAGAACAATTTATACAATGACAATGATATGGTTAAGAAGAAGAAAGAATTAGGAACTCTTATCAACATCACCAACCACAACTCCAAAGGCCTAATGATGAAACACGCTACTTAATTCTTTTTTTTTTTTTGATTCAAGAGTAGGACTTTATATAGGATACTCACCCTTTAAAGAAGATACTTCATAGAAATTTTGCTCCAATATACAAAATATGGAACTGCTAACCCACAGAACACTTACATAGTTACACAGCAATCAGCCACCATTTACAACTTAAGACAATCTTTCCCATTCTTATCTTAATCACAATCAACCAGACAACTTTATAACGCTTTCTATATTGGTCATTTTTTTTGCTTATTATATTATATTCCTTTCTTCCCCACCCCAACAGTTTAAAAAATAAACTATAGTTTCTGACATCAACTTCGACTTTTCACTTAGTTTCAGTTGCATTAGAAGTAAAAAGTAAATTTACAACTATCACTCCCCCAATCCCTACCCCCACAAATCATTTTATGAAATATAGCGTAGATGTTGTGAAGAAACAGAGAAAAAATTGTGTGACTATCACTGAACTAAAAAAAAATGCTGTAACTTGTCAAAGTATGAAATATAACCTTGGCTTTTAATACATTTTAAATGTAAAATGTAAAAACAAACATTTGTTAGTTAACAACTAACATGATATTATGCAAAGGACTTCTTTCTTTCTGACACACACTGTGGCTTGACCCATGAAATAAGATGATTCAGCCTTCACTTTATTCCTTTCCCCTGTACAGAGAGCGCTGTAGAAACACAGCTCTAAATTCCAAGATAATCTGGTATAAGCCCTTATAATAAAAATCTCATTGACTTCCATTTTCACTTTCTTTCACATGCTTGGTTTTTCTTTCTTTTCTTTTTTTTTTTATTCTCTCTGCAATGCTGGTAGGTTAGGCAGGCTATGTACAATTTGTACAAAAAAATTCTAGCCAAGATACGGCTGTAGAAACTTTGCATCTTAAAAAGCAATTTGTTAAAATACAGCTCTACTTTCTTCCTGCACATTGGTTTAAACAGCCCAATTAGTTAAGTGACCCTGTTGAAGATCTGTTCAGCTGAACGAATAGGTGAAGTCTTTTCCTGAGCTAAAAGTAAATGCTAATAATAGCAGTGAAGAAAACATTTTTTTCATATTTTAACAGTACTAATAAAATAACTTTAGAAAATTACAGTAAAGCAAAAACAAATTACTCTCTGAATAGGGGTGACAAAGAACATTCAAAGCCTGATTGCTATTATTTGGAATACATATTCAATTTTTTTCTGTTAAGTTACATTCAGCCACTGTCAGACAACAAACTGATGCATGGAAACGTGTCAATTGCAATAGTTTACATATATTTTACACTACACATTACCTGGTGCTGCCATGATTTAAATAGTGTCTAAAGTTATTTTTTTAAAATCCAAAACAGAAAATCTTATACAAACAAAAAATTTAATTTCTGAAAATTTTTTCCAGTATTATTTGCAAAACTGCAAAAATGTTGGCTTTATCTTTTTGGATTCCTAGATTATTCCAGAAAATTTCATATTGAAAGGGTATACACTCAGCTAATCATCCAGGCTGCTAAAGAGTGAGTGGATCATTTCATAAGGAAAGAAATGACATTCTGAAATTATCATAATAAGTAATGTCAGGTTTTCCAAGCAAATCCTCAATGTGAACAGTTAGTATATTTAAAGACTATAAAGAATAACATAACACCACTGCACCAGCATCTCTTTATGGTACACATTTCTTTTACCATTCCAACAGTTGTAAGAAAAATTTCAGAGCTTTTTTATTTCATCCAAGTTGAATACAACAGACGATTTCGAAACGAAAATGACAGAAAAAACTATTTAGACGGAGATACCAGTTACTCCTGGAAAAGAAAAATTACCTCCTCTCATAGAATTCTTCTTAAGATATCTTAGCTGATTTTAAATAGAATTTAAATTTATTCTTCAAAATAGAAAATTGAACACTTAAAAGGGTATAACTGACTAAAGCTAACAGAAGTATCCTTAAAACTTGCTGATAGAATCATTGACAATTAATACAATACTTAGACTCTAGCAGATACAATAAGTCAAATAAATAAGAATAAACTATAATTTCAGAGCCAGTCTTTCCCCTTGCGGAAGCAAAAAGCCATCCTTGACCAATTGTTCCCTACATATACATATAACGTATATTATTAGAAGCTTCTTCAGAGAAGCAAAACATACTTGCCTCCCTGACACTGGAGTTCATCATGTTAGTCTAGCATGTCAGGAAGGCAACTACAAGTGCTGGGCCCAACAATATTTCAGGTTTACTCACGAAAAACCACAAAATATGCTGTCCAAATCGAACATAAGCCAATTTATGCAGTGTATTCAGTGTCTTCTTTTTAAATAATCAATACAATCTAGCACAGGTTCCTATTCTTTCTAATGCACCCCAAAGGCTTTCAAATTTATGGGTACAAAAACAAAGAAAATATGCACATCATTTACTGGAAGGCTACTCTGACAAGAGAAGCTGGTATCTCTGATTTCAAATTATTCTCATTATTCTCACATGGAACTGTACAGACAGCATGATACCTGAGCAAGCAAATCAACTACCATGATATGAAGGGCTTGTTAATCCATAGTCTTTTCCTGTTGTGTGCAAACTGTTCTACTGCCCCCTGAGCTCCCTGCATTTCACTGCTCTTGAAAAATCAGTGCTTGATCCTTTCCAAAATAACCAAAGAAATGAGGCAGAAAGTATTTCTTCACCACAGTTCCCATTCAGTCCTGAGACTGACAGAAGAGGATGTAACCATACTCAGAGTTCTTTGAGATGTCTGATGTCAACACGTAGAATTCTTCAATAGCTTGTGCATCTATTTTCTCTACAATGTTATCATCAAACAATAACCAAAAATCGTGACTCTTAACTATTGCAATGTAATGGCCTCGATAAGGACCACTTCCACAGTGAACCACAACAGCCACAAGGTCGTACATTCTGTCAGGATTGGTGGCATCTCCTGAAGTGTTAAATAGTCTTAGTTCTAAAGGAAAAACTACCCGATAAGAAAGTTTTGTGTATTGGTGAAGCTGATCCATATATTTGAATCTCTTCAAGTGCAGCGCCAAAATCATGGGCAGTTTTTTTACTTGCATCCTTTTGTGTGCTTCCTGTTTGCTGCGACATTCTTCGCAGTAATATTTATATTCACTGCATAGTTTCCATGTTGCTAAAACCCCTTAAACAGTGAGTAATTGATGTGTTTTGTTCCACATCAACAGAAAGGTCTAAAAAATCTTCATCTTTACTACTTATAGTTTCACAAGTAAGACATCTGGTTTCATTAGTTAATGTTCCCTGAAAGATCTCATGAACCCAAGTTGGGTCTGGTGTGCTGTTGTTATTTTCACTGTCAATATTGCCATTAGGTAGACGCCCATTTTGCTTTTCCTGCTTTCTCTCTCCTGGTAAAATATCAGCAATTGTTTTTAGTAGGTAATTCAAAAACTCATGTGCATCTTACTGCATGTAGTTGTCAAAAAGTTCATTTTCTTTTCCTAACCTTGTTATGAACTTCTTAGGAGGTATTACTCCAACCTTTTTCTTCTGAGTGGCTATACTGTGAAAGAGATCTGTTAAGCAAGAAGATTCTCTTTTTACCTAGGTTGCCTCTTGTAAGCTAGAACTTTTTCCTGAAATGGACGGCAAAAATAAAGTGCTTGTAGAACTGAATCGCAGTAGCAGGTGTTTCCAAAACTGACTAATCCAAAATAGTGTTCATTGACTGGAAACTGTTCTGGACCAATCTCTTTCTCTAAAGCCGAGGCACTGGTGCCCTGCGTTATACCATGATGCTTCCTGCAACCTCGGTCTCTCTAATATCATCTTCTATTTGAACTTCCTGGTTGGCAAATCTAACAAAATCCATGGTACAGATGGCAGCAAATTTGGAGACTGTCATTAGGGTTTCCATGCGCCCAGAGCCATCTTCCACCCAATCACAGCAACAGCGGCGGCGGTGGCGACGCCGGGTTCCGAGCACCAGGCGCGGGGGAGGAGGAACAGGGCAGCAGGGCCGCCGCCCTCACTGCTGGCTGCTCAACAGCCCCAGCCTGGCCGGCTGACTGAAGGACCAGCCGAGAGACCCACAGACCGACCCCAGCAACCGTCTGACCCCAGTGCTCCGGCACCCCGGCCAAGGCCCCCACCCCCCGCTCTGGCTCCTCCCCGACTCATGGCGCAGCCGCTGCCTCCGGGCCGCTCCAGCCCACCTCGCACCCCGCCTAGTGCGGCCTGGGGAGCGAGCTCCACCACCAGGCGCCGCCCTCTCCTCCTCCCCCTCCTTTCCCCCATTTCATTCTTAACCGAGAGGTTGAGGATGTAGAGTGTAAAATGAGATAAAATATTTTCCAATGCAGAAATTTCATTTGCTTAACCATACATGCTTGTAATGGGGAAGGGGTGGGGGTGTGTGTATGTGTATGTGTGTGGTTGGGATGGGAGAGTGAGAATGTGGATTTTTGCTGACTGAAAAAGATAAACTATTATTTAAAAAATTAATGTCTAGTATTTATACAGGGCTTTAAGGGATGCAAAGCACTATATATACACATACATATATGTATATAATTATATGTATACATATGCACGCATAAAATAATCTGATCCTCACAACAACCCTGTACAACAGGTGCTACTATTATCCTCTTTTTACAGATAAGGAAACTGAAGTTGAGAGAGGATAAGCAACTTGCCTAGGATTACACAGCTAAGTAAATGTCCAAGACAGGATTTGAACTCAGGTCCTCCTGACTGCAAATCCAATACTCTATCCCCTGTACCACCTAGCTTCCTCTACTAGGGCCTCAGTTGTATTATATATATTAAGAAATACTATTATTTCAATGATCTATCTCAAACTTCTTCATTTCTTTTGGATCAAAACCCTGAATGGTTTTTGTAACAGAAGATTTAATCGAGCTCCAGGCTGCTTCCTAGGAAACATTCCACTTCATTCTCAGGTACAGCCTTACCGAGGTGCTTTTCTCCTTCCCTGAAGACAATGCCCAGCTCTGAGGTTTTTTGCCATCTTCATCATGGAGTCTCAGGTCCCCACCTGCATCCAACAGTTTGCTCAGGATCCACTGATTGCCTGAAAATGCTGCTGCATGAACAGGTGTACTTCCATCAAAGCAGCGACTAAGAAACATTAGACCAAATGTTAGACCACAAATAGCAAGTGAAAACTCTGCCCCCCACAACAAAAAGCAAATGGGAAGATCCTCTGAAAGCTGCTGGCTAGTTCTCCAAGCCTTTAAAACCCACAAATTCAGAAAGTTTAAAAAATAGAGGCCCTTCACACCCATGGTCAGTCACACAGCACATTAGTGCCAGTGCTTCAACCAGAAATCAGGGCTATGACTTCTGAAGTAGGTGTTCTTTTGAACTAACTAATCTATTCTGCACTACACCTCTGTGACAGACCTTGGTTCATTACTCTGCTAACTAATGTGGTTAAAAAAAAAAAAAAAGAGAACACATTTAGGGTTGAAAGATATTACCACAGTGGCAGTTTGTACTCCCCTTCTCTTCTCCCCCTATTATTTAGAGACTTAGGGCCTGAGCCTCAGAGAAGTGACCTGCCTAGGGTCCTACAGCTTGTAAATGACAGAGGTGTGGTTTAAACTCAACTATTACAATTTGTTGTTGTTCACTCATTTCAGTCGTGTCTGACTCTTCGTGACCCCATTTGGGGTTTTCTTCGCAAAGACAATGGAGTGGTTTGCCAGTTCCCTCTCCAGCTCATTTTACAGATGAAGAAACTGAGGCAAACAGGGTTAAGTAATTTGCCTAGGGTCACACATCTAGTAAGAGTCTGAGGCAGAATTTAAACTCAGGTCTTCCTGACTCTAGGCTCAGTACTCTATCCACTGTACTAGCCCCAGTGCCCCATAATGTATTGATACAACACTGCTCTGCAAAGCCTGACGGTATAGGGCCATCCCTGGGATGCCAAGAAATCTGGGCACAAAACAGATGAAATTAAGCTTATTTCCATAAAATAATTTGCTATATGTAACAAGTATTTTTGATTCAACAAGTGTACATTAAGGGCTTATTATATACTTGATACCATGCTAAGCACTGGGAGATACAAAGACAAAAGTGAACCAGTCCCTGCCATCAAGGATCTTATATTCTAAAAGGTGACCTTACATTCTAATAGGGGACCATATATATAAGTCTACCATTCAAAGATGAATAAGTTCACATTAAATAATTTAGAGTAAAATAATCACTGGCATAAAAAATTCAAATTACGTAGATAATCAGAAAACAGATTTTAGGAACATTGTTTAGTCTAGACCACTGGCCTCCACACTTTTTTGGTTATACACCAAGCTGAAAAACATTTTTGAGCACAAATCCCCAATATATGTATATTTATTTATAATTACTTAGAGAAGCAGTGTGGCCTAACAAGTAGAGAGCTGGTCCTGAAGCCAGAAAGAACTGGGTTCATGTTCTGCCTCTGACACACAGTAGCCATGACATGTCATTTAACCTCTGCTCTATGCAACTCTTAAATCTACAAGTATCAAAGTATCATAGGGGATAAAGACCTGCACTGGCAGCATCTCCTCAAGCCTATAGCTCTCCATATTAATGGGGTCACAGATATGGCCCTTTCTATATCAATGTAGAGAGGTTAGGAGCTTGCCCACATGCTGGAAGTGGTAGCCTCAGGGAGTACTGGCAGAGAATGGGTGAAGTGTGGATGTGGTTGCATTGTAAACAAGCTCCACAATTAACTGTTGTTGGGAGAATGCAATTAGAGCCATCTTCCCATCCTCCAACAGAGCAATCACATAACTTTTACAACCATTCTTTGCAAGGCCCCCACTTTGGAGACCAGTAGATTAGAAACATCTTTATCATGGAACTTCATACTATCTATAAGTAACTGTATTATATTGCTCAGTGTAGCTTTCTCTTCTTCCTTTTTTTAAAATTTTTTTTTGGGGGGCTAGGCAATGGGGTTAAGTGACTTGTCCAAGGTCACACAGCTAGTAAGTATTATATGCCTGAGGCTGGATTTGAACTTGGGTCCTCCTGAATCCAGGGCCAGTGCTCTATCCACTGCGCCACCTAGCTGCCCCCGTAGCTTTCTCTTCTAAATTAAAGGTGGGTTTCCTACCCCTGGATTAGATAGCTCTAAATCCTATGATCTCTATGATCCAGTTCTATTATGAAGGCCGATATTATATGCATAGTATAATGATGCCATGTATAATATGTATATATATAACTAGGTAATGCTCTGGAACCCTCTCTGATTCTATAAATTTCTGAACTACTGTCACAAATTCAAGTGGAAATACTTCACCCAACCTGCTCCTGTAAAAAAAACAATCTAGTCAAGTGTAAAACTTATGGATTTGGATTTTGCTCTTAAGTCTCATTAATTTTAAGGAATGAAGAATGGTGTTTTATTGAAAAATGAACTCCAAAACTCAATCCAGGAAGGCATTATTGTACTAAATTATTGGTTCTAAACAATTACATTCTCTCTAAAGAAGAGACTTATTAAGTAAATTTACAGTGCAAATGACTAGGTAATGGAACTTTTTTAGACAGATTTTAATACATTGGGCAAATATGTGCAAACGATAATGTTAATTACAAACATCTCATCTATTCAATTTAAACAAGCCTAGAAGGGCTTACCTGAGAAAGTTTTGATAGAAGTTCTGTAAAACTGCTTCTTAATAAATATTTCATAATTCAAACTGGTCTCCACTGGTCAAGATTACTAGTACTATTTTCTAACAACATGATTTTCGAAAGACCTAAAGCATCTTTAGAAACTATTAGTAATCTTTTGCTTCAAATTGCAAGATACTTACTGATTTGGGTCTGATCCATAATCTACCAGGACATCAACTAATTTGGGAAGACCTAATAATGCTGCAGTGAAAAGTGCTGTCTGGCCCAGGGAATTTACAGTGTCAACATAAATTCCTGCAAAGTAAATGGAAGAATGAATGAAGGCAAGTTTCATGAATTGTTCTTTGCTACTCAGCTATAATTTTAAAGTGTTATCTCTTGTCATGTGTATTCTGATTCAAGTTTTATTTATTTTTATAACTTTCCTTATCATGTTAGCCAAAAGTTGAACAAAGGTAAACAAGAATGCAGTTGAATTTAACATGCAAATTGTGTTACTACATTTCCATCACGAATGCTTTTAAAGTATTTTCCCTATAATGCCATACATTAATTCAAATGAAATCATTAAAAGCGATTCTTTTAAAGCTCAACAGAAAAAAAAAACTTCCCCCCCCAAAATAAGAAAACAAAGAAAGAAGGTATGCCTAAATGCCTCACATTGATGATTTGTTGAAAAGCAGCCTGAAATAATCAAAATCTCAATTCTTATCAACTTTGGAATTCGTGGTTAGAGAGAATGTTATTTTTTAAATTCAATTTTATTTTCAGTTCCCAATTCCCTCCTTTCTCCTCCCTCACATATTGGGGAGGCAAGGAAAATAAAAACCATAACAAATATTCATAGATACACAAATTGTTCCAAGAAAATGAGAAATAGAAGAAAATATTCTTCAATCTTCACTGAGTCCGTCAGTTTTCTTTCTAGAGGTGGATGGAATCTTTCATTATCAGTCCTTGGGAATTGTGGTTGGTCATTTTGGTCTTTCAGAACTGATAATCTTTACAATATTGTTGCTACTGTATTCATCGTTCTGGTTCTGCTCACTTCACTTTGCATCAGTTCATACAAGTCTTCTCAGTGTTTTCTGAAACGATCTTCATAATTTCTTACAGCACAATAGTATTCCATCACATTAATACACCCTAAGTTATTTGGTCATTCCGTAATTAATGAGTAGCTCCTCAATTTCCAGTTCCTTGCTACCACTAAAAAGGATTGGGGGCAGCTAGGTAGAACTGTGAATAGAACATCTGTGGTGGAGGCAGAGGACAGAGCTAAGAGTCAGGAAGACTTCTTCTAAATTTAAATCTGGCCTCAAACACTGTGAGAGGCCACAATGACCCTGCGTGACCTTGGGCAAGTCAGTTAACCCTGCTTGCCTCTGTTTCCTCATCCGTCAAATGAGCTACAGAAGAAAATGACTAACCCCTCTATTACCTTTGTCCAAAAATCCCCAAGTTTGGTCACGAAGACTGACACAACTAAATGACATAAAGAAAATAGATCGGGACTTCGATTCTTAAAATCTAGCCAATAGCTCACTAACATTCAGACTCCTTAAGAGTCTACCCAATGTGACAGATGTTCTAATAAACCTTGTCTTTGGCTGAAAAAAGGCTTAAGTTGAATTCTTTCAGGCAGGACTCACGTGTTGTGATCTCAGAGTCCGAGCACCCCTAAACCTCATCATTTTGGTGGCCCAGACAGGGAAACTGCTTAACCCCAAGTTCTTCTCCAGCCAAGACTGGAAGGTGTGTAAACCTCCCCCGCTTCTTTCTTGCTGTGCAGTTGGGGTCGCTCTCCAAGCACCAAGGCTTGGAGGTGCTTTTCAGGCAGACAGTTATGAGGCTGTCTCAACTTGCTCTGACACTCTCAGGCTCTCGGTCCACTGGTTTGGTATGAGGCCATGGACCTGGGTACACCTTCCGCAGCATAGAGGACAAGGATGGACTCCCTATCCAGAAGTGGATGTATAATATGTATATATTATATACATATTAATATGTATATATTATATACATATTAATATGTATATTAATATTAATTAATATGCCCAATTCTGTCAGTTCTCTCCGCACTAGAGAACTAGAAAAACTGTAGTTGCTTTTTGATTCCCTGAGACTTACTCCCTTCCCTCTACACCCCTGAATTCTCCTTCATGGAGGTTATAGGGAAAAGTTAGAACAGCTAAAATCATCTTAGCAGATTCTGGAAGCTTTGTGATCTATCCTTAAGGAGTGTTTCAAAACTGTACAACCTGGTCACTCCCTTCCCTTGAGTAAAGAGGGTATCTGTTAACCTCTCTCATCACAGAAACAGTTTCACCCTTTACCCCTCACCTTTGATTTCACCCTCCCACACCTGGGAAAGGAAGGAGGGGAGAGGGGCAGCAGCTACAGCGTAGGTCCCTCTGGCAATGGCCTTGGGCCCTGGGGCAACCTTTGCCTGGAAGCATCACCCAGGTTCAGCACATCCTGCTCAAGGTAAAGAAGCTAGTCTCCAAACTTGGGTCAGCACGCTCTTTTAAAGTTGTAGTTTTAACTGTTAATGAGATGTTGATTCTCTGTGTAAAGTAATCTGGAAATGCATTTAACAAAACTGAAGTCACCTGATTGGTAATGGGTTCATTTCAAGTTTCAAATTGGTGAACTTTTTGTATCAGTTATGTCAAGCAACTTTTCATAATATGATTACTGCTAAAATAATTTGGCTATTGTTGGTTATTGTTTTAGTGTGTAAACTTGCCAAAAAGCTTGTTTAGGTTATGGCTTGCTGAGAATTTCCAAGTGTATAGAAATCTCTAATGACTGGCTTTTTACACCAGGACAAATTTAAATTTGAGATGTAAATCCTGGAAAAGTTTTATTTAAATTTGAGATGTAAATCCTGGAAAAGTTTTTTCGTAAACTGTGATTAGTGAAACTTGCTGTTGGAGGTAAAAGCTCATAGGATTTTATTTTGAGTTGTCTGTTGGATCATAATCCATCGATAATCAATAATCCACCATCTGAGAGAAATGCCACAAGCTACTCAGAGAATGTGACACTGGTGGGAAGTCAGCATCGGGAAAAACTGAGAGGACAATTTTAGCCTCAGTCTAAGATCACTCGGTTTCCCCATTATGTTCCTTTGAAAGGAAACATTACCCAAACTGGCTATTCCTGAGTCTGGCTATGAGGTGGATTTGGTACTGCATGGTTGGAAAACTGAATTATCTGAATCCAAACAGAGCTAAGGATATTTCATCCTGTCATATCTGTGCCCTGCAGTCTTTTCTGTCAGATTTGTGTCTTCCAGACTATAGGCCATTCACCTACAGTTGGCAGTAAACAGCAAGTACTAGCCAAATGTCTCCCCATTGTTCCCTGGATGCAGTTTGTGCTCAGTTCCAGTCAATCTTCTCTTTGGGACCCCCTCCAGGCCGGGACAGCTCCACTGCCCCTTGCCAGCAGGAAGCAGTTTCAGAAGCCAAGACGTTCATCCCTTACCCCAAAAGAATTTGAGTCCCGTTTGTTTGAGAGGGGAAGATGGGGTTGGGATCTTTGGAGAGTTAGACGGCTTAAGTTTCCACAGGCAGAATAGTGCAGAGGGTTATAAAAACAACTCAAGGAAGCATGTGGACTTGGGCTTAGCCAAAAGCTGATGGTTCCAAGACTACAAAATCAAGATAAGAGCCAATCCTGGTCACGGCATGCTTAGTGAACCTCAGGCACAGAACCTTCTCTGATCAGGGTGAGGTGGGGGCAATAGCACAATTGTCTACACAATAGGGAGGGAACAGGAGGTGTTCCAAGGAAAGGACCAAACCAGGCCTGGGAGGTTTCTCCCCGAATTTAACTGCATAAAAGCACTCTTGCCTTTGTACTCAGGGCCCACCCCTCCTGAAGAGGGATGGAGACCACTTGTTGCCAGAAACGTCTAAATCCTCTGGACTTTGTCTGTAAAAAAAATTTCTTCATACTAAATTTTTGGTGTCAAGGGTGTTTCTAACCATCTGGATCCCAAAAAGGAAAAACTCTGGACTTTCGCACATGGCCAAATCTCTGGCATTTGCTGGAGGCCATAATTCCCACAACTGCCCTCTCACTGTGGCTAAAACCATCTCCCAAATCTGTTACCTTTAACCCGGACTAGCCCTCCATTGTTTTACCTCCAACCCGGACTAGCCCTCCATTGCTTTACCTCCCTATGGCCCCAAATTACTTCCCACCCTCAATCCTAGCTAGGCTCCCCACATGGTCGCATTCCCTGGTGTTCTGTTCAAGCAAGCTCACCGGCCACTCCTAAATCCCTTCACCACCTTTCCGTATATAAAGCCCATCTTACCTCCATTAACGTGCTCAGATTCTTGATACCTAGCCAACAGCTCACTCATATTTAGACACCTTAAGAGTCTGACCTACGTAACAAACGTAGGTTGTCTTCGACTTAAAACCTACAGCATATCACCCAACTTAAACCTACCACCTTCAAAAAAACACAAAACCTCAAAATTCAACATCAGTAACATACTAAAGAAATTACCTTTGCAAACAAAATAAAACTGAAAGGACCACTCAGCCTGTGTTCTCTTCCTCTCACCCCTCCCGAAGAAAAGGAAGAACGATCATCAATGGTATGTTACAACTGCCAAAAAGCAGTGCCACAAACCAGCTTCACGCTCAGAAGAGAACACCACAGCTCCTCCTCGTGGTTGCCTCCGTGCTACACCTTCAGCCACAATTCTCTAGTAACACACTATAGAAATGATCCCTGAAAGTATAGTCTTAACCAACAACTTCCCGACGCGCCTACCACAGCCGACCCCGCACACTGTTCGCTCACGGCTACTTTTCCTTACCCTCCTGACTCCCACCCCAAACCCATGCGCCGCAACTTTCCGAACAAGCACGCGAACGCGCAAGCCCCACACAGCTCATTCCCCTAGCCGGAAGCGGTCCAGGACCCCGAAAGCTTCACGAGTGCTAATTACCATATTGCCTCCAAACAGCCAATCACTACTCCGAGCCCAACCTCTGCCCTGCCCTTCCCTCCCCCGCGCTCTCTCCCCAAGCTGGGAAAGTTTTCTTCTTGCTGTGACTGAGGAGGTGCCTGGGTGGTGCTCCAAACCACAAGCCAGCCTCTCCTCCAATCAATCGCCTGGTCATGTCCTGCATACTGCCGAGGCTTCAGCAAAGCTCCCCGGTGCCCAGTTTTCGAGAACACCAGCATCCCTGAGGAGCCCACACTGGCTGGGCTCTTCCCAGAGGGGCCATGAGCAAGTGTCTTAAACGCTCATTTGTCAAACAGGCAAAATGCTACTCGTATTAGTACCTACTTTAAGTACGAGATTATAAGGAAAGACCTTTCTAAGCCTAACGGATTATAATAAATTTCGGTTATTTTCATTGTTAATGTAATAATTGGAAAAAAAAAAAAAAAAGGACACTGCCTCAGCCATACTGGTTGTCCTTTTTAGGCTCTCAGGCCAGACACCGGAGCAGCTCTTACCTACTTAAGAGTCTATTACATTATCCAGTAGAAGAAAATGGTAAAACACTCCAGTATCTTTGCCAAGAAAACTCCAAATGGGGTCATGAAGAGTCCCACAAGACTGAAATGACTCAACAATAACAAAGACTACTGTACAGATACTTTTTTTTTCAGGCCCTTACTTTTAAGAGGTCAAGGAAATACTCTGGCCATACTCATATTCAAAGCTAAATAGAAGCACAACAGAGATGACAGAGCTATGGTCAATGCATCTTGCCAGATGAAGGGATACAAAGTTCCCCTCCCCCAAAAAAGTTACAAGGTAAGAGAAGATACATCAAGCAAGTTAAATAAGTATAAATTCTATGCAAAGTAAATAGAAAGTATTTGTATTTAGTATCAAATGCCTGGTCTAATAATACGTACTTAGATAAAGAGATCAGTAGGGACTCCGTGGGGTGGTCAAGAAAGGCTTCTCTGAGGAAGGAAGCCTTAAGCAGAATCTGGAAGGATGAATAAACTTTAGAGAGATGGAAGGGAAGAAAAGAATAAGCATTTATGTAGCACCTACTATATGCCAGGCACCCTACTAAGGAGGGAGGGCATCCCAGAGCAAGAACCAGAAGGTAAAAAAGTAAAGTTGATATTTAAATAGTGCTTTTCTAATAAATGGGCTTGTCATGTTTAGTGGACAATAAGTAGTCATCTGGTGAGAGTGAAGAGCTAAGGGCAACATCACAGTATAGTCCGAAGTGCATTGGCTCTAGAATCAGAGGGCCTGCCAGGGTTCAAATATCATTTCTGGCACTTAAGTGACCTGTGGCAAGTCACAACCTCCCTGTGACTCAGTTTTCTCATCTGCAAAATGAGCATGTTGGACTAGATTGCTTCTTAGGTCCCTTCCAGCTCTTGATCTACGATCCTATGACCTGGGTTCAAATATCACCTCTAACATACATGACCCTGGAGACCTAACAAACTCCATGGTTTCCTCATTTAAAAAGGAATCCGTTGCACTATATGACCTCTGAGATACCTTCAAGCTCTAGATCTTTAGGGGACTAGTGAGAGCACAATGGGTATGAATCAAAAGGCCTTTCCCCCCACTTCTTTATTGGCTCTGGCTAGAATAAACTCCCTAATTCACTGTTTCTCAAAGAAACATGTCACCTCCCAGAGAAACACTCAGGAGGACGCTTCAGCTGAAAGGACTAAGAAACCTACGCCTGTGCTCACCTGCCAGGTCATCAAGGTTTTCCAGCTAAGAACACAGTTCACATTAGAGATGAAGTGAAACAGGTACAGCAATTCAGCTTAGTGTCTTTGCCTTTATTTAAAGTACAGTTGGTGTAATCAGTTATTGTTTTATTACATTTTATATCTTTGTTAAGCATCTCTTTTGTGGTAGAAGAAACCAATAGCTTGTCTACAACTGATACTTTGTACTTCTAATCTAGTGGAAGTGTGTTAAAATTTAAAAACCTATTTTTTAAGTTTCTCTAGAAATATTAAGAAATATTTCATCAGTCTAAACCCTTTCCAGACTTTTCCCTCTGGGAAAAGGGGAAGAACAAAGACTATGGCCTTCCTTTGAAATGGAGTGAGAATGATAATCAAATTTAACCTCTGTCCAGATGTCGATAGGACTTCCCACTCTTCTCTTTTAAAATTCAAGGTTGAGATACTTATCCATGGGAAGAACTCTTAAGAGATGTGGCCCAGGAAGGAAATGAGTAGTGACTACTCTGGAATAGTTACCCCCAACTCTATTTTAACATACTATGATCTTTTCCTTGTTTAAGATACCTAAAATTATCTTGGGGCAAAGAGTTATGTTACAGGGCAACAGGGTCTATGCCACTTTGAAAACCTCTCTCTCTCCTAGAAATGTCTTGGACATAAATTAATGTTAAATACAATAAAATTATTTCTGGTAGATTTCGATCTAAACAGAAGAGTAGAATATTAGTATTAGTATTTTTTTTTCTTCAACAATCCTTTTCAGTGACCATCCCAGACATAAGCTATACTTAAGCTCTGTTATAAAGATTTTCCAAAGGATTCTGGAGAGGAAGTATTATGAGGCAGGAGGTGTGAGAAAATCCTGATTTCCCTCTCTTTGGGGTCAGTTTCACCACCAGGATAAATCTCATTGGCTTGAGCTCAGAGTAATAAGCTTTTTGTGGCAGAAGACCCTTTCCCAATTCAGGCTCTGGGTGAGATCTTGGGGGCCTCTCCAATATTGGAGGGGTTGAATTCAATTAACTACAAGTGCTTAATGCCTTTCTGGAAGCTCCACAAATGCTTGGAGTTGATTTGGGTTTGATTTTTTTCTCTGTCCTATCCTTGAGCAGTTTAGTCTTCCGTTTGTAATGCTCTATGGTCTTTCAGAGATTCACTGGAAAAAACAGGATGATGTTTTTGTTAGAAGGACCTCTGGAAATTTTGCGAAATTATCCATCTATATACATTGCCAGGGATCTGCTTTATGGGCTGAAGGGATCCATGGGACAAAGTTTCACTCAAGATAGTTTGGCTTTTTACCTGTGAGTTGAAGGGTCACTTTCAATCCATCCTTAATCCCTGGTGGGAAAACTAAGTATTCTAAGAGCTCACTTGGGATTAGATTTTCATTCTGACAGGGAAATACTTTTTTCCCCTTTCCTTTTTAATCCCTGCTTTTGTTAGTTGTTTTAATTTTATTTATTCTTAATCGTTTGGGGTTAGGACAGGCCCTTAAAAGTACCATAGTGGTAGTAACCTATGAAAACTTCGTAAAAAATATCATTTGCTTCTTTGATTTTTGTAATTTTGTATTTAAGGGTGAGCATAATAACCCTTCAGGCCCACCAGCTAAAGTATATGTGAGCCCTCTCAAAATTAAGTGTAACAATGTTGGGGGTTAAAGGCTTGTGGGATAGGCCCTGGCCTTTCTGCCAGTACAGTAAAAAAGAAAAGCACTAAACCCTAATATTTTGTTCATTCTCATTTAGATTGTTTTCTGGTTATATATGATTTGGGACTACAGGGTTGGTTGCTCGAGACAAAGCATTTAGGTTTTTTTCTTCTAATTTATTTATCTTTAGTTTTCAACAGTCACTTCCATAAGATTTTGTTTGTTTGTTTGTTTTTGGTTAGGCAATGGGGTTAAGTGACTTGCCCAGGGTCACACAGCTAGTAAGCATTATGTGTCCGAGGCTGGATTTGAACTCAGGTCCTCCTGAATCCAGGGCCAGTGCTCTATCCACTGCGCCACCTAGCTGCCCCCACTTCCATAAGATTTTGAGCTTTAAATTTTCTCCCTCCCCAAGACAGCATACAATCTGATATAGGCTCTACATATACATTCTTATTAAACATTTTCTCATTAGTCATGATGCAAAGAACAATTAGAACTAATGGGAGGAACCACAAGAAAGAAGAAACAAAACAAAATAACAAAAGAAAAGGAGAGCAAATAGTATGCTTCCATTTGCATTCAGAATCCAAAGTTCTTTCTCTGGATCTGGAAAGCATTTTCCATCATGAGTCTTTTGGAGTTGTCTAAGATCCCTGCATTGCTGAGAAGGGCCAAGTCTATCAAAATCAGTCATCCCACAATGTGGCTGTTACCGGGTACAATGTTCTCCTGGTTCTGCTCACTTCACTCAGCGTCAGTTAATATAAATCTTTCCAGGTTTTTTTTAACAACATATTGTAGGATTATGATTCTTAATCCACTCCTGTTTTATGAGAGAGTTCATGCCATTCACATTCACAGTTATGATTACCCCCTACTTGTGCTTTTTTCTCCTCTTTCTCCCGTTCCCTCCTCACTAGAGGTTTGCTTTCAACCACTGCCTCCCTCAGTCTGCCCTCCCTTCTATCAGCCTCCTTCCTTTTCTTCCCCTTCCCCTTACTACTTCTTCCTTCCCTTCTATCCATCCCCTCCCTTTTCTTTCCCCTTTCTCCTCCTATTTCCTGTATGGCAAGTTAGATTTCTATACCTAAATGATTATGTTATTTCTTCTTTGAGCCAAATCTGATGAGAGTAAGATTCAAACAATGCTCATCTCCCTCCCTTCTTTCTCCTTACTGTAATAGGTTTCTGTCTTTTTCATGTGATGTAATTTACCCTTGTCTGCCTTCTCCTTACCACTTCTCCCAAAACAATCTCTTTTCACCATTTAATTAGATCTTTTATCATCACATCAAAGTCAACTGATACCATGCCCTCTGTCCATGTATACCCCTTTTAAATGTTATAATAACAATACATTTCTCAAGAGTTACAGGGGAAGTGTCATCTTCCCTTGTAGGGATGACAAAGTACTTTAAACAAAAAGTCCCCTTACTGGCTGCAGAGCTGAAAAAGATGAATTTGTAAGACATACAAAAAGAGCTGAACTACCCCCATCTTCCTCTCTCTTCCTTTCTAGCTTTAAATTATGTCAGAATTGCTTTCAGAGTTGAGT